TGTGAGGACGAATACTCGCCAAAGACATTGGCTAGCGGTCGCGCTGTATCGTGAATTAGAAGTTAGAATTCATGGGCCATTGGATCGTGTCTCAGTTGCTTAATGGTCTACGAGCTAGCTAGCCTTGTAACCAGAAGGTCCTGGGTTCGAACCCCGGTGGGTGCATACTGCTGAGGAGTCCCAAACTAGGACGAAACAGCTGTTCAGTACTCCCAGGTTTTCCAATGGTTCTCTAACCAATGTCAGTTAATGATGAATTCCTGTTACCAATCAACCAAGTCCCTACGAACCAATATTTGAAAAAGTATTCTTTTCGATAACTTCTTTTTCATCAGGTTACACAGTTATGTGCATCGATAATAATTAAAGAATCACTATTATTATTATTGACAACATTGATAGATTACAAATAATATCTATAAGAAGATCATGCATTGTAGAATAGATCAATTAGTTAAATGCACTTTTACAATGGTTGTTTACACAAATGAAAATAACTTACCAGTGTATGTAAACAACTATTGAAATATAATTAGAATATATAGTTCAAACAGTTCAAAAGTGCATCCGTAAGTAATAATATGCATCAGCATAAAACTGAATATCAGACATATTAAAAAATACACTACAGAGTGTATGAATTCCACAACAGGCCAGTGTAGCAATAGTGGCTGGACCTGATTCTTTTCTACACAGATTTCCGGTAGTTTTAAACGTATTGCGCGACAGCTTCTACTATGTGGAATATTCGATACTTAGAAGCTTTTTACAATTTATTTGGTATCTGATAGATGATAGAAAAAGATTATCTAGGAGTGTATAAGAGGCCTGTTTGGACTAGGTGACCTAATATATCGAACTGTTGACAGTTTTTAAGTACACCTTTAGTAAGTTACACTGGTAGGTGGTATTCCCTAGGATGAAAAACTAAGTTCCTACAGCAACGGCCAATTCAATTGGCTTCACAGAAGCCAGCTACATTGATAGGATACAGAAACATGTGAATAGCTTGGTTAATTTGTCTCCGTTATAGATGAGATTTTATTTTGATAAATCACCCAGTGTTGTACAATAATATTTACTGATGACGTTTCGAGCACAAACTATTGCTTATAATCATATCAAGTCACTCACACAACTTTTTTCCTTCATTTATATACATCAGTGGAATTGACTAGATATTTGAATAAAAATCAATATAGGATAATGTACATTCAGAAATAATAATATAAGTGTTATCAGTCAAATACAATCGGATGGGAAATAAGACGAGTGTTTTTATAGTCAAAATAAGTGTTACTTGTTAGAATGTTGTGATGTGTTTGAATTGAATCTAACTGTAATTGATCAATCACACTCATATCATTGCCACCAGTCAAATCAGGGGAGGATAATAAATAATCTTAAAATTCTATTTCAATTCAATTCAAACACATCACAACATTCTAACAAGTTACTTATTTTGACTATAAAAACACTCGTCGTATTTCCCATCTAATTGTAATGGATCAATAACAGTCGTACTATTATTTCTGAGTGTACATTATCACATATTCATTTTTATTCAAATGTCTAATCAGTTTATAAATAAATGAAGGAAGAAAGTTGTATGACTGACTTGATATGATTATAAGCAGCAATAGTTTGTGCTCGAAACGTCATCAGTTAATATTACTGTGTAACACTGTGTGACTTATCAAAATAAAATCTTATCCATAATGGAGTTATACTCTAGCACAGTGCCCAAGTTTTATACTTATATGGTTAATTTGTTCTCAATACAAGTGGTACCCTTGATTAGTTTGTGGAAAGGATGAACATGTTTGCAGGATCGTACGAGCTCGTTTTATTTCGTGAGTTCTCGTCAACTACGTCCAACCTAAACAAAATCGAAATATGAGTTACAGCAGGTCTGGACATACTTTTGTCACAGAGACGTCGAGTTATCTATAGAAAGTATAAGCAAAATAATTCGTTACATCACTTCATAATTATGTTTTTAATACTTCCTAGCAATAAGTCGATGTCACTGTGAAAAAAAGTATGTTTAGACCTTTTTGTAACTTATATTTTCATACTATTTTGGCAGAATACAGTTGACAAGAACTTGCGAAATAAAACGAGCTCGTAATATCCTGTAAAAAAAAAGTTCTTCCTCTCTTTGTTGAAACTTCGTCCTTCAAATGAGGATCATAGCCAGTCGTTTGGAAAATATGAGCTGCAGCTTACTGGCCTTTGAATTGTAATCTATAGAACTTACTGATTCGATGTGATTTAAAAAACACTAATGTTGTTAACAGCAATGATTCACTAATTATTACGGATATATATAACTGTAGAACCTGATGAAGAACAAGAAGTTAACGAAAAGAATATTCCTTATTCACTAATTAGTCTTGTAATTTTTAAATAGACATCATTAATCAGTTGAAGCAATTATAAACAATTTGCGAGACTTCGCCTTCTATGATATATATTTCGTGATCTCAACTATCTAAGTGGAAAATTTATTAAGGAACTGTTATTCAGTATGCAGGAATAATGTTTTTTAGAACGTGTCTTGTGGGAAACAGTACTCATCGACGATAGTATTATGTTACTCAACAACCAAATGCGATTCCATGCAGTTTGCAATGAAACACCTATGGTGCGAAGGCTAGTGGTACCACCCGCACCTGAACCCGCAAACGATTGGTTGGAAGTCGAGCGTCTAGACCAATGTGCCACACCGATGATATTACAGATAATAATATCGCAAAGCTGACTCTCCCTTCTAGGCATTCGTGATGTCATACAAAGTACAGAGAGTTCCATGATAAATTGTGCTAAATTATTTACCACATTCAGTTGTAACAAATTAGCTGTGGATTTTTAAAATTTCTTTTGCTGTATGATTTCTTTAATCTTACGTCGTAATATGGAGGATTGTACGCTGACGCACAAATAGAAAAAACCAGGTATCTTTATCACTACTAGTTCAGACACTGTTGAAAACCATCTTCCGAAAGATCCAAAAAAAGAATAAAGTCTACTACAGGCAACCTCATTTGAACTGACAGCTATAGAGTAATGCAGTATAAGTATTTGTGGAGATGTCATTTTCAAGTTCGTTGTAACCATCTAGTCACGTCCAACCGAGATAACCACGTAAATAGGTTAGGTTGACAACACACATTTTACTGCTTATGCTTAAACTAGGGAGTCGCTGGACACCAAGCACATATCATCATCTCACAACTGTCTGTCTGTATGGATTCAACATAGAACTTGGCAACGAAGTGCAGCAGTTCGAGTTGCCACGTTCCAAATAGCACACAAAGGTAGACAAGAAGATGAGTGAAGAGAATCAGTAGAGTTTTGACAATTATAAGAGTGAAACAGAATGAGTAATGGTAGAAAGGAATATCTTCTTCTTTCTTTACTTCGGCTATCTCCTACGGGAGGATGAGCCGGCTTCATGAACATCTCGAATCATCGCTGCTCAGGCGCGGCGATCTGATGCAAGGTTTTGCGACAGGGTTATCCAATTCTTGTTCCACAGACGGAGTCCGTAGACGGTTTGTAGCCCCAGGCACTCCATATCAGCCTTGACTGTACCAAGCCATGTTTTCAGCTGTCCACCCGTGCGACATCGCCAAGATGGTAATGACGAGGGATTTAGAACTGATTTGACCAGATCGTCATCTGGTCGGCGCAGAACATGGCCAAACCACCGAAGGCAACGTTGTAAGAGAGTTCATGAAGTTTCATGGGAATTTGGTACGAGTGATGTCCCCAGAATCGCTCGGCCTTTTGTTTGAGAGTGCAGCTCTAGCCTTTACACAACCAAGTGTGACCTACAAGGCAGTAGGAGTGGAGTAGGGAGTCCACTATCCATTGGCAACCGGTGACCGAAGTTCGGTTCATACGCCTTTTTGAATGGGGCCAGACATCCAACAAGCCCTTTGTCCATACGTCTGCCGGTGAGCTCCAGTGAGCTTCATGCGCCAGTCGTTGGAGGTTTGGAATCAGGGTTTAGCCATCTCCCCTAGACTGTCATCCAATGGACAGTCAACCTGGTGAAGAGCGCCGGGCATCCGCTTTCGCCCTCTCACTTTGGTGAAAAACACCTCCGCCACGTGGAGGCAGTGAGTAGGACTTCCTCAGGAGAGGCTATGTAAGACGCCCGGTCATATGGGAGCATTTCAAGAGGTGTGAGGAGGGGTGGCCAACCCGTAGCGCAAGGCACCCACCCCCGACCATCCTGAGGCTTTGGAGGCTGAATACATCTGCGTAAGCCACTGACAACGATTTTGAGCCATGTCACCTATTGTCTCCAGCCATTGATTCTTAGAGTTCCGAGGGCCCCAACCCGGAAGTCTGCATCTCCCTACCTGACTCAGTTTAACTGTCAGGGATTTCATGGATTGATGAGGCCATGTTTTTGTTTGGCCACCACTTACTCTTTTCCAACCTGCACCTATATCAGCTAGTAATGCCCGTCGCGGGGGTGGGAGGCGATGGTTAGGCATGCGCAGCACGTGACCTAGCCATCTCAATCTATGTAACTTTATAGCCTCGTTGAAAAAGAGGAAGAGATGGTAGACATCTATGATTAAAAACAGTCAACCTTTTCATGTCTTCAACTCGTATTGGCCATGTTTCAGGGCCATGGAGAAGGATGGAGCGAACTGCTGAGCAGTACACACGTCCCTTGGTTGATAGCCGGATATCACGCCTACGCCAGAGATGGCGTAAGTTAGCGAAAGCAGCTCGAGCTTTTTGGATCCGTGCTGAGATTTCGTCGCCAATCAGTTTGTTGGTGCTGATACAACTTCCCAAATAGGTGAAGTGGTCAACATGTTCTATCACTTCACTCCCTATCACTAAGCTAGCATCTCACAACTAACAAGGACGAAGTGAATACAACACGTATTCATATTTTTATCATAATGTTTAGAAGTCTGACAACTTATCAGTGGATATAAACTTTAAAAAACTACGAAATTCAAATTGTATATTTTTTTATTGTACACATTCAAAGCATTCATAATGATAATCATAATAATAAGGTCATTGTGATTGCAACAAGTAGTATAAAATATTTTAATCGAGGTAAAGTATATTGCTACCCAAACACATAACATATTATAACTACTAGTTTTATTTTTTATTAAATAATTGTTCAAAAGCAGTATGAATTTCTGGTAACATCTGGGAAGTTATCATAGAACGACCGTATTTCATAAAGGCTAACTGTGAAGCCCTTCGTGTAAGCGTACAAGCCGCCAAGGCAACTCCAATAGTAGCTGTAAACTCTAGACTTCTAAAAAGTTATGATAAATTTATTTGGAAAATAAAGGAGAACAATTAAGACATATTATTATTAAGGAAATAAATCACAATATTACTTACGAATGTCATGCAAAGTGATTTTAGTAAAATAAAAAAGTATCATGACCCTGTTTGATGAAAGTGTATAATGCGAACCACAGCTTAGATATTACTAACCAATAACATTTCGCCTAACATATATGCAGAAAGAAATGGGGATGAATTGGATACGCGCAGAGGAGGCCATTGAGGAAAGTCGAGTGCCAGTCACACCTCGAATGGGAGCTCAACGGTAGAAGTTAAGCGTCCGACGGTAATCTGGAGGAAATCGTGCGAGGCGGCAATGAAAGCTTACTGACAATCACCGAGATAGCAGACTACAAAGTGAATTGAAGATGCGCTGCTGCAGGTCTACGCCTCACTCAGAATCCAAAGGATGAATTATATATATCTTAGCATATACGCATTTAAACCATATATATATATATATATATATAATATTTATTTTTTAAAAGATGAGACATTTGACTGGAATGACACTACTAATATATATCCATGAATTTTATAGGGTCTCAGTGGTTGAATGGTCTACGAGCTCACTGTGTAACCGGAAAATCCCGGGTTCAAACCCTGTCGCATGCGTGCTGATGAAGACACCCACACTAGGACGAAACAATTGTCTAGTACTCCCTCGCTTAGTGAGCCTGTGGTTCAGTGGTAGAATACTCACTAAACTTGCATATAGCTTGGATTTCATTACCTGACCAACGCACTCCTAACCTTCGCTTAACTATTAAGTGCGGTGAAGAGGTAACGTTGAGTGTGAGGCCACCACCCGCTCTCCGTGGAGAAAACAGCACCACTGCTACTGAAACTTCAAAGCTCAAGCTTCAAGCCACATATCCCACTCAGAACTCAAAGGAATAAACTGTTAATGAAAAGAACCAAATGATATAAGACTCAGTTATACCGTATAACAAGTTTTACGTGCTTTTCTACTCGGCCTGACGCTAATTCCTAAGGTAAAAGTCCAAATACTTTAGGCAGTAATATCACATATACGGAATTAAAAACCATTCTGAACGAAGAATATTCTTTTCAGTGATTTCTCCTCAGGTTCTTACAGTTATAAAATATAATATTTGTTGGCGTTACAATAATGATAGCCAGTTATGCGGCGGCTGCCTCTTTTACGTAGAATAACAGATTAGTTATGGAGTGTCAGAATAAATAGTATTTGTGTGACAAACGTGCTGGGCTGAAATCAATTACAAAATATTGTGAAATTGGTGGTGATTAGTCACAATAGATTTGTAGAATGTGGGATAGGAAACACTGACAAGTCAGTTCAAGGTTATAAAAGGTATCAGGTGAGTGGCTAGTGTAAAATAGTATGTATTTGATGAGTGAGGGTTAAAATAGGATCACCCATGCTGTTTTACTAGCTTTTTGCTCTTCCTATATATATATATGTACAGTACAGCTACTTCAACCCTTGCATGACGAGTTGGTGAAGCATGGCGTCGTGGATACCTTCCAATTTATAGATAAGATTAAAAACATGAACGCAACTGGCAAATATATGGCATCATTCGATGTTCCATCTTTATTCACTAGTGTGCCTCTGGTGGAAACCATCAATTATATCTGCAAACGGATTACAGAAAGGAAATTGTGCACTGATATTCCTATTATTGATATGAAACAATTACTTGTTAAATGTACAGACAGGTTAATGGGGTGGCCATGACATACCCCACTAGGACCCGTTTTCGCGAACATATTTCTCGCGAAACTAGAAAATAGTCCGTTGGGAAATAGGATAGCAAAAATGGAAATGTATCTCCGTTACATGGATGACACTTTTGTAGTGTGTAATGAGGGGTTACATAGTGATTTGATTTTGAGCAACTTCAATAATACTCACTCAGCGGTCCATTTCACCTACGAAGGAGAATACAACAACTCTCTGCACTTCCTCGATGTCCTACTAACGAGAAGCGAGGATGGTTCCGTCAGAAAAACCACATTTAGAAAGTCAGAGACCAAAGCTCAGTACACACACTTCCTTAGCTTCGTACCGATAAAATACAATCGTAATTTGACCAGGAGCTTAGCATTTAGAGCGAGGTCCATTTGTTCCGAAGATTGTGTAGAGGAAGAACTCCAGTTCATCCGGGATATTCTAGGCGAGAACGGATTCCCAGAGAAGTTCATTAAAGCCTACATAGGTTACAGTAGTCGTAAATACGAACTGGCAACCGTGGAGTAAAAGCCTCTATTTTTACGTCTACAATTCAGGGGAAATCCTGCAGAGATTCTACCGCAACGTTTAACCAGAGAGATAAAGAAAACCTTCTACTCTGCACATCTCTTCCTATCCTTCAGTAGCTATCCAGCGTTCACCCAGCAACTCAAAGATGTCTTACCTAACCTTAGCTATTCTTCATGCATTTACCATTTCAACTGTTCCTGTGGTTCAAGTTATATACGGCGCACGATTAGGCAGGTTCGAGGACATTTACCAGCTTGGTTTAGCAAGGGGGAAATTAAATGCATAAAAAGCTCGATCCTGTCACACTTGGTTGATACTGGACATCGCATCGACGCCAACACAGCCTTCAAAACTATATACCAAATTCCGAAATCGTTATCACGTACAGTTCGCTTACGTCTGCTACACATAGCTGAAACTGTTGCAATAAGATCAACTAAACCAGGACTTTGTATCCAAAAAGAACACGTCTAGACGCTATTCCTACCGTGGCCAAACTTGGATTGATGATTCTTCTTCTCATAAAGAGTGCCTTTTCGCCTTATCCCTCTTGGTGTTTTTTGCTTTGCTTATTATTACAATCATTATCATTCGTCATAATTTATGCCCTTTATTCAAACATTCTCTCAATACTGTCGAATTTTCCATTTATACTATCCGGACTGATTATTATCTCTCTTCTCAATATATGCCTCCACTTGTTTCATTTCACAAATTGGTTATTTCATGATGAACCTCTCATTGCAGTCTTACTACCTCCTCTTTAATACACACTACTTTGTACTAGCCACTCACCTGATACCTTTTATAACCTTGAACTGACTTGTCAGTGTTTCCTATCCCACATTCTACAAATCTATTGTGACTAATCACCACCAATTTCACAATATTTTGTAATTGATTTCAGCCCAGCACGTTTGTCACACAAATACTATTTATTCTGACACTCCATAACTAATCTGTTATTCTACGTAAAAGAGGCAGCCGCCGCATAACTGGCTATCATTATTGTAACGCCAACAAATATTATATTTTATAACTGTAAGAACCTGAGGAGAAATCACTGAAAAGAATATTCTTCGTTGAGATTGACTTTCATTTAGCACCACAGTCAAAATAATAGAGACTTTCTTGCCCTCGACTGAACTTTGTGGACCTGTACTTCGATCTAATTGGAATTTGACGGGAAACATGATGAGGCTCGATCGGTAAAGTGGGTCAGAGTAAACTGCTGGACAGTACATACGCATATATTTTGATGAATAACGAGATATTGCGTCATTGCCCTACTTGACGCTCTTAAATGACCGCATGAGTTCGAGTGAAGTGGCTTGGTCAATGTAGTTTACTTTGACGGCAGTGTCCTCATAGCCAGAACATCGCCACTTGTTGGCTATTATAAGTCAAATGCTGCGTTCAAATGAAGAAATACAGGAAGTTTCGGAAGAAGATTAGTATACTTATTTCCAAGTACCAGTCGAGGAATGAAGACAGGGTCAATATATCCTCATCCAGGCTTCAGGCCTATCATAATACTTCATAGTCGTTGGTTACATTCTAACTGATTATTACTAATCATCCATTAATATTTTCATACTGCTGTTTGACCATGATGATGGCTACATATTAACGGATGGATAGTATAGCTAAGATACAAAATAAATTTTCGATTGGACACTACTAGTCAGTAACTAGTGTAATGTATCTAGACCGAATTCTATCAGTCACGTTTGCCTCCAACCATCTAATACCAAAATTAAATTTTCACTTACTTGTTTCCATCTTTCAGCTGATGAAACCAATTGTTGAATACTGACATTGTACCAGAAAGTATATCGCCTTGGCCACCACATCTTCGCGGTGATCCTTGTTCTGTACATAATACAGCTTTATAAGGAGAAACAAACGTAAACAACTGCAATAATATGTAAATGTTCAAAAATAATTTCAAAATAACCACCTGCACATAGCCGCAAAGTATATGAATATAATAGGTTTTTTTTAAACACTGCTTACACATATTTGTGGTCAAGTTAAGTGATTTCGACACGTTAGGTATCACATGAAGAAGGTAGGGTTTACAAGTACAGTTGTACATCTAACTATCGCTTTCACATAAACACACTTAAAGAGATTAAGGTCAAAAGGAAATTTGTCACTCATATCAAGAAATTACATCGATGCGTAATAACCTGCTTCACTTGATTCGATATCAGTGATGAACGGGTAGTATGATAAGGTCATACATATCATATGTGGTTCATAGTTCAATATGACGGAAATGTCTGTAGTGACTATTAGGTACACAAGCAAAATTAAATATCGTGATATTAGGAAACATGTGATTCTCCAACACACTATTTGATACATACTACAAACTAATATTAGCAGATAAAGACTGTTAACCGTAATCACCAGTGCTTATCATCTAACCAGAATATGTTGTGAACGTTAAATGGATATTTGAACTACGCTTACAAGTCCACTACTTGACTACTTTAATAAAGAGAGAACAGAGTTATTCATTAAATCACATGAACTCCATATATAGCTATCAGTCGTAAATGGTGATCTTAATTTCATCCATTCCAATTATGACTTGTAAATGATATAATCATGATTTTATTACACAGCAAATGTGTGCGTCGGTGGCACAGCGGCTAGGACGCTCGCCGACCATGCACATAGTCCGGGGTTCGATCCCCAGCCGATGCACACCTGATGTCAATGGTCAACCGGCCAAATTTAGGCTACCGATATCACATGCTGAAAATTCCATACTTGTACCAAAATACTGTGTGGAATCAAGCTATAATATAATAAATGTATAAAATGGATCTGGGATTAACAGTAACAAAGAATACGATTTGTTACTTGTCATTTCTTAAAAATGACAACAAATCAACTTACTTGCCTGACCATCAGATATAACATCTGTAGAACCCTTATGGACAATAGTTACACCAAGTTTGTTAGCAAGATATTCTGTTGCGTCATTAATATTATTTGGCCTGGATGCAAACTGTACATAGTTATGGCATAACAACAAGGTATATTACTAAGTGTAAACATTACCACAGAATAGTATAATCTCGAAAATTCAATAGTATTTGGTGTTAGAATAGTTTTATTATAACCTTGTATAAGTGATGGATTCTGGTTTATAATGTATAAAGCATCCGCATCAATAACAATAGGTTTATTAGCTGATTTACAGTAATCTATTAACTAGAAAAATAAAACAAAAGATTAGTTTAGAAGTTAAAGAAAAAGGGAAAAGATTAACCACCTTGATAGTATTTTCAATGTTCTCTGTTAAACCAAGACCTGGTCCAAACGTTACCGCATGCACTTTATCCATACATTTTGTTGCTTCAGTTAAATTTGTATCTCTAGAACAAAAGTTATTTAACTATAACTGAATGTGTTGAAAGTATTTTTTACAGAACAGGATGAACAATCAAATCAGGACTGTATGATTTGATAACAGAGGCTGATGCAGCAGAACAGACAACATGAACTAAATCAGCACCCTATAAAATATATATGTGTATACATATATTACTACTTATATTACTCATTAAAAAACTACTTACACAATGAAGAGCACTGATAGCAGAGAAATAAGGCGCTCCAGTATATCTGTTCTCAATAGTTAAGAAGAAAAGAATGTGTGAACTGACTCTTTTGATCCACCGACAATAGCAATTCGTCCCATTTGACCTTTATGAAGATCGTCTGTCAGTTGAGGGATTGCATCGACTATTTTGTCAATCATAATAGCTTCTTTTGTTGGTATATTAACTACTGTTCGAGAAGTGAATGTGTCTGAAATAAAATTACGAAAAACACGATAAACATCATCTATTCTGAGTTTAGAGATGACAAAAAGCTTTACACAAAGATGTACTGGTTCGGTTTGGCACATTATTTAACAGTACTAAAATAATACTTTGATGGATACCAAGAGTTTTAGGAAGGATTTCTAAATTATTTAATTAAAGTTCAAACCTGATACAACACAGAGAGATAGAAACTGACATTACCAACTGATTCAGCAAGGAGGTGATTACTCAGAAGAACTCACAGTGTGTTCCTATAATTTTCGTCAGAGAAACGGTAATCAGATTTCCAGCATAAAATGCGAGCATCTGATTTCGAGGCTCCTCTTTCCCTTCAAACTGTGTGCAACTGAAGAGAAGCCAATGTTTTATACTTATACTTTGTTCTCCTTTCTAAGACGAGGAAAATAAAATGTTATTACCGACCAAACATAATGATCAAATATACATTTTCGTGAAACTAGAATAGATTGGTGTTAATTAAGTTGTACAACTTTGTAGTAAATGGAATAAGAAAGCCGAGAAACTAGTTTTGACTAGATAACGAGCTATCTAGATTTTCCGCTACCCGAGTGTTTCCGGTAAATAGAATGATGTCGTAGTCGCTAAAATGAAGTTTTTAACATATATATTCAAGTTATATATTCCCTACAAACTCATAAGGTTTTACAGGTGCACGGTTAAATGGGACGGACAGAACTTCGTGAACCCGACTATTAAAAACTAGCCGGTGTCCGAAGTAAAGTAAGCCACTCTGACCATCCAGATATGACTATACATCCAACGCACCTACATCAGGATATATGATTCGCCCAGAAAAGTTGGTGAGGGCAGAAAACTGTCAGTCCTGAAAGTTAAGTTTGCGCTTTGGTGATGCAAAGCATATGCCATATAGCAGAGAGTGGTCACCAGAAGGATAACCGCCATTCAGGAAGCATCCGTCTCCTTGAACAAGGAAAGGAAATAATATGCGCATTAACATTTAAATAACCTTTCTGATAGCATATCAACACCTCCTTTACAGTCATTTCAAAAACGTTGTATATAACAAAGCTGAAGAGGGAAGGTGAATTTGAGTAACCTTGTATTAACTAACTTTTAGTAAGACACAGTAGAGACAAGTGATTGTATGCCATAACTATACCTGAGGTGCCTTTGTATATTATTTTAATGTATAGGTAGGTTGAATTTTTTCATAGTTCGTAAAACGATAGGATGTGAATGGATCTGCTATATAGTGAACAGTTGCGAACCATTTCAATAAATCTCCAACCACTGAATTTTGCAGTCTCGATGACCCCATCCAAACAGTCTACACTTCCACACGCAGCTCAGACTAACAGTTGATGACTCCACTAATGTTGCCTTAGTTTCCTTTACAACCCCGTTAGGCTTCAGACAACATTACTCCTCAAAGAAGGTGGTTCTGCGACTGAAGCACATATCCTAGCCACCTCAATGCACATCAAAATTAATTCAAATCCCTAAAAAACTAATGATATACACATCAATCGATTAAGCTTGATAGTCTCGTTTATCAACATTCTTTCCCCACTTAACACTTAATATTTAGTACTATTACTTACCGTATTACTAAAGTTAACACAAGACTGCGCCTACTGTCAAGAAACAATAATCTGTTTATGTCTTCAACTCCCAAAGATCCACACAGCCGTTAAGTAAGGCAAGGTGAACTGCCGCATACTGAACATGTTCATAGGCGGGTAACTACATATCGCGTTAGTACCTGAATACTACTGAGAAGAAATTCTATCGGAAAGCTGGTTATTTATGATACCATTTGTACGGAAAAACAAAATCTTACGACTCGCAAGTATACACAACTGAAACGATGGTTAATCGAGTGGATTACAGATTGTTTGTAAGCTTGTACAAGCAGAACGTTGAAACTTAGAATATCTGTTAATTCCCGAGCAACCAATGATAAATTAGGGCCAAGTTAAACTTTAAGCATCACTAACAACCAATGGAATGTGACGCACCAATGATGTTAAAACGCTCACTGAGCAAGTTAGTGAAACCTGGCAAATAATGTCGTCATCATCAATAAAATATGCTCATTGAAGTGTTATGCTATTAAACGGGATATCTGGCAAGTTCCAGCTTAGGTTTGTGAAAGATTAAGTTACGCTTTAAGCCAAGGACAAGTTGGGGTTAGGTTAACCTTATAAAGGTGACACTAAGATTGTTTCCAGTTACATTACAGTGAGTTAGGGGAGATTTTCACGTTAGGGTTAGGTTCAGGAAAAATCAGGGTTATCGTCAGGCTTAGAAGACCTAAATAATTACATGCAGAGAATGTGGTTAAACTACTCTGTTGATATAAGAATAGAACATGTGAACTGTGCTGGTAGAGTATAAATCTATTGTGGGTAAAATTTATTTTGATAAAGTCTCACTGTGTTATACAGTAATATTTACTGATGGCGCTTCCAGACAATTTATTGCCCAGGAGTAGTAACGCAATCTCCTAAATACGCTCACTTTCAGGATACAATATTCCAATATCCAATGTCCTGATTACGAGCTAGTATAAACCAGTGATTTCTTTGAGCTCGCTTCTTGATTGTAAGGTAGAGGTTCCAGATCTTCGGTGAACTTATGCGTAGTAAATCCCGCCACTCGACTGCTTTAGCTCTGGTAGACTCCAAGAGGAGTGGTGCGAGGATTGGTCAAGATAAATAAATAAATTTATTCTCATAGTACAGTACATGAGGGACGCCAGTTTACAGGCATCATCAAGTTGTTACAGAAATAGAACCATATAATTCAATCACAATTTACAGGCAGTAGCAAGATATGCTTTACATGTTCGCTGGAGATTATACATACACTTGATAAATGTTAATCCCAGTAGTATAAAACAGCCTTTTCACTTATATACAATCATTTCTGTGCAAAGTTGGAAAAATCTGCTAGATTGTCAGTGAGTGCAACACAACATGAAATACAGGAGTATTGTCTTCGCATTAACAGAAAAACCAGGTCTTTGGTGGATGGATTATAAGTGCCTGGGAAAAAAATAAAGCTTGAAGTAAATATTCATACATAACTTTGTTGTGTGCAGAGTCCTCGAATTATAGTTCATTGATGTGTTATTTTGAAATCAGTGATGTGTTTATCTCATTTGATCTTCAATGTCATTGTTGGGAGTAAGTACATAAGCTTCGGACGCATTAATTAATGGATTTCTACTGCTTACGGGTATTTTCTTAGCGTGAGAAAGGTTTATGAATTTCAGCTGTTCCGACAGGAGTTGGGAATATTAACTGCTCAGCAACATTTTGGACATAAGTTCATCACATTATCTAAGGAAAGGTGGGTTGCAGTTGGTGAGGTATATATGGTGCCCAACGAGCGTTCATCTATCCATGTGATGTTGTGGTGAGTTATACCTTTTTCATGTTGTCGGTTTATGTCCATTTTATTCCACTTATTGTATTGGGTAGTAGTTTTACAAACGAGACTTCCTGTCTGTTTGACGATACGTATCTTAACCGTTAATGTTTTCTCTAGAATTATAAATATAGGCAAAAAACAACAGGTGTAGTATTTAAGCTTATACATTAAATGGACCTATAATTTCGGAGGCTCTCAGATAGGAACTAGAACTACTATCGTTTGCAAACTCTTGTAGTTTGTAATTAAGCACCTTTTTGAAGGAGGCCAATGTACTTGCTTGACGCATTTCCATTGGCAGTTTATTCCATGTGTGTGCATACCTAATCAAGTAAAACTTTTGCCTGGTGGCTGTTTTACATTGTTCGATAGCTACTGTACCCTTAGTGTGTCTTAGTTTGTAGCGATTGTCATCTGAAAGTCGAGTGCCATTAGTAGAGGTAAAAACTAAGTGGTTTAGAAGCTTATAGTAAAGTGTCAAGTTTAGTGTCAGGCGTCTTAGCCATAGTGTTTCTAGTCCTAGGGTATTACATCTAGTGGAGTAGTTCGCACCATTTTCGGTTCCGAGTAATTTTAATGTGAAGTACATCTGCACTCCCTCGACTTTCAATTTGTCCTCTATGCGTATACTACTATACATGAATGAACAGTAATCAAATAAAGGACGCACACAAACCTTGTACAACAGAATTCTAGACTCATTTCTGTAGACGTTCCTGAGTAGAAAGCCGATAAGTCTGCGTGACTTTGACACTTGTTTGGAGATATGTTCAGAAAATGATAAGTTATGTGAATATTTCAGCCCTAGGTCCAGTACAGATTCCAGTCGTTGAAGTGCATGGCCTTGAATTGTCCGGTTAAGTTCTAAATTGTTGCAACCTATGCAGAGCCAGCCACATTTTTCAACATTAAATTGGAGTTGCCAGGTGTCACACCATCTATTGTGGTTTGTAGTGTGCAGTATGTTAGGACTCAGCTGCTGCCGTGAATGGAGTTTGACCTAACACCCGTTGGTCATTCGGTATAGTCATAAAAGTAGAATAGTAATAATAATAGGTTGTAGTGTAGATAATATAGGTTGAGATAAGTGAAATAATAAAGAAAGAAAGAAAAGATAGAGTAGTAGGTACAGTGGGAGAAGACAGGACGGGTCGTGGGGATTTAGCTTGTATGCTTATCCACTGACAGTGTGGTTTCGAATTTTAAGAGGATAAGCCATTGAGACACACCGTGCATTTCTGCATGATTGTCCAGCTTACACTTAAAAGTCTCCACAGATGGAGCTGTAGTTACGGCCGCCGGTAAAGCGTTCCAGAGACGGCAAACTCGAAGCGAGAAGAAATGTGAACGCACTCGATTCTTTGGTCTCTGGTGTGCTATCCTTAGCGGGTTACCTCGTGGAAGCCTATAATCACTTAATGGCAGGATGCTCTTATTAGGGTGGGCTTGGTCATTCAAGATCTTATAGACGGTGATGAGGTCTCCCCTGTGACTACGGTAAGTAAGTGTGAAAAGACTTAATTTCTTCAGTCTTTCCTCATATGATTTGTTGCGGAGGCCGATCACCCATTTTGTGGCTCGTCTCTGGACACTTTCTAGCATGTTAGCATCCCTTCTGAGTAGCGGAGGAGCAATGATATTATGCACCTCAAGGGGTGGCCTCACGTATGTCGTATACAACGTCAAGAATAGTTCGGGAGTAAGAGCTCCCAGCTGCCTATGCATAAAGTGTAAAGTGGCGTAAGCTTTGGCGTAGTAGTAGTTAAGCGTTTCGATTTCTTTGTGCTAGCTTCTTAGTTATGAGGTACAGGTCTTCGGTCATCTTCTGTGTAGTTTGTAGTGTTAAATAATTCCCCAAAATTGTTGACCACATCAATCATCACTGAACATTGGATGCTGACCCTCACTGTTTAAGTCAACTTGTTTAGCTGAAGGTTTCCGGTCAAGCATCCACGCCATTTGGTACTTCGTCGTGTCACGTTCGTGCACAATCACTAGCCAGCTAAGTATTCATCTCGGTCTACGATTTGGTCCCGAAATATATCTCGTAATTTGGACGATCAATTGTGGTCTTTTGCTTTTCCTTTGGTCTACGCGGAACGAATACTATAGAAGTTGTTGGTATTAGATCTTGCGTTAGTATACTCCGTACAATCCGCAACCGTCAACACCTTTAGCCTGTAAACTGGTGAGCCCTACCGCGAACTTCATCTTTGGTAAATACACAGACAAATCCGATGAGTTCGTTCCATTTTTTATTTGTTCTTGTACTATTTTCAAACTATATATTTCGTCATGAGTGATCATACTCCTAAGGTCATTCGTATTCACTCAACTGCCAAAAGCATTCCGCTCGTACCATTTTGACCAGATAATGCTGAATCATGGTTTCGGATAGCTGAGTCTGACTTTAGTGAGCATGGATAACTGAGCAACGTTCACAGTTCCTTGCAGTTGTTCACGCTCGACCGCGGGAATTCAGCAAGTGCGTAACTGTGCAGATGTCGAGCCCAGAGGTAAGAAACTCGTACGAGTTGCCTAAAGCAACCCTTCAAAGGAGAAACGTTCTCTGGCATCGACAACGTCTTGACGAGCTATTTCGCTACGTCGAGTTAGGGGATCAGTCAGCCGTGAGTATGCTAACAAGAACGAGAGAAGTTATTGTCCAACGTCAGTTTGATGAAGGACTTTTCAGAGAAATTTACTTATCTAAACTGCCACAGTCAGTACAGACTGTACTTGTGACACTTCAGGGTGTCGTTATAGATGACTTGGCTGTTTCTGCATATAAAATTCTAGAAATAACTAAACGGCCAGTTACTGATGCCTGTTCTGCTTCAGTTACCAGTCAGTGTGACTTAGAACTGTCTCTCGTCTTTCCTAGCACTCTCATTAATTTCTCAATTCAGTGCGTTGTACAGGCTCTTCTAACGATATCCCTCTTTGCATCAGTTCATCCATCTCATCATTCTACTCTCTTCTGTTGGCCTCCAGGTATCCTTCGAGAGCTATTTCTTTGTCTTGGCTCATCTTTCTTCCTAGAACAGTTGTACACGTCTTCTTGGACACCACATTCAGAGAGTTCCAGTGTTATTCCACGCAGGTTTCCTCAGTGATGCTGCGTAGTGTTCCCAACGTCCTTGCAATATCTGCAGTCAGGATGTCCTTCGCAGTTTTGTATTTCAATTTCTGGTCGATCCCTAATTGCTTTAGATGCCTACAACCTGATCTTGAAGGTTCCTTGCATTAAACAGTTGTCTGAGTCCACATCTGCTCCCCTTCTCGATTTTGAGTCCGACAGATCGTCTCCACTCTCTTCAGAATGAGGCAAGGTCCACCTGACTTTCTGTGTCCATCAGGTGAAACCCATACCGCACTGTGTTTATCCTTATGCTCGTACCGCTGCTCTCTGTCATCAAGTCACTGGACGTGCAGAAGTATGCGAAGAGTCAGGTGGTTATAGCCTTCCTTACTTTTGAGTTGAATCTTGCTGCCACAGTCCTAGAGGGGATTGTTTCCCACTGCATCAGAGCTCAGGCTGATGTTGGCGACACATGGCGATAGCTACTCCCTCAGCGTGCTAGTAGTTGCCATCTGGATGACCACCTGCTCTCTCAGATTCCTGGTATATCCATGGAGTATTTCTTCATTTCTTTGACCACCTGGGCAACCTTTCCAGCTTCGCACATTGTAAAAACATTCTGTGTCCCCATTCTTGTTGTGCTTTGGTCGAAAAAATACACATCGGCTGACTGGCTGCTCGAAGGTTTTCACCAGCGGATTCATCTTGTCTCTCTGATTCCAGCAAAAAACAAGTTTGGCCTTCAGTGTTTTATTATTTTTCTTGTGCTTTGAAGGTTCGGCGGCGATCGATCTGATTTTCTGGGGTAGTACCGCTAGCCCCACAACAACCCTCTCTCTTTTCCCGAGGTTTTGACTGGCTAGAAAACTAGTGAGCCAGTAAACCAGGCGAGGTTTGAGTTCGTAGCTTGTTACTAAATTAACCACTGGTCGCCGAGCAAATTTACTGAGATTGTCAGTCTGTCTGACCGAAGAAAATCAAATTTTGTCGCTATCATGGAATCCTGGTGGGTATGGTAACACATGTATTTATATTCAAGTGTCAACGGTGTAACTACCAGAAATGCTATTGATGCACAACGCTTGTTGACAAGAAAAGTTGTGATTATTACACAACCTACCACATCCTTTTTGAATATTGAGTTCGTTGGATGCACTTAAAAAATAAATTGTCAGCGAAACATTACATGACGTTGATCCGACAACAGTATGAGTATTATCGCCTCAACTACATTTGTAATTTTGAATGCATACCTTGCTTGAATCAAAAAGTGTTGTCACTTGGAGACAAGGAGCAAGGAGCAGCCTTAAACTATCTTCCTTGTAAGTGGTACGAAACAGTATACTGTACTATATTCAGTCCTAGATTAATAATCCTCAAACCCCGTGGTTCTCCAGTCAGATCAGCCGAAATGATGAAAAGAATTCAATCTGTCTCTGTGATATACATTGGGAAGGGATCATAATACTCCGCCAAGCTGGTCAGAATAGCGTGAAATCAGGAGCGTCGAGTGTGCCAGTGTTAACTAGTATGATGAAAAATTATACCGATTGGCCAACTTCTGCATTGACTCACGTATTAAAACAATTAGACATTTGAAAATTCTCATCGAAATTTAAACGAGTAATTCCAATGTTTCGTTCGGCAAACCCGTCCGAACTTCTTCAAGGAAATTAATCGAAATTAACATAACAGAGGTTTATATATGAAAAGGACATCTCTTGTTTTCAAAACCTTTGTCTAGTAATACGCGTCACTACATTAATTTCCTTGAAGAAGTTCGGACGGGTTTGCCGAACGAAACATTGGAATTACTCGTTTAAATCTCGATGAGATTTTACAAATATAACTAACTTCTAACTCGGCGCCCAATTATTTTGGAACTATTAGGCCAAATCTTGATCACAGTTTATATGAATGAGACATTGTCTCCCTAAAAGGTCGCAACTACAGAACCTTTTGGACAAGTTGCAGGGCCACTAATGTATTCCCTGTTCTCCTTATAAGCATCAGTGATTAGGTTCAAACTAGAAGCATGCATCCATTAACTGTATCACTGTGTATTATATTCATAAAACTTGCCTAATATGGCTGTCATGATGTCACCAATGGCAACAAAGGCCCTGATACAGTAAGAGGCGATCTCGCCCAGGATAATGACCGCCAGATTCAACTCCAAAGGAAGGAAAGTAACAGTTATACAATGCTATGCACAAGCAACGCAAACCTTAAAAAGAAAAAAGAGTTCTAAGACAACTACAGGCAGCAATGGACAATACTCCAGTCGGCGACATTAAAATACTAATGGGAGATATGAACGTCAAACTGGAACCAGACAACACAGGAGGAGAACTCATCATGGGTAGAGAAGCTCTCGGAGAGATGAATGAAAACGGAGAACTCCTTGCTGACTTCCGTGTATATATACACTATATATGTGTATATATACACTGAACAAAAGAGTAAAGAAGAGTGCTAGAGGAGACAAAAGAAAGTGTTATGAAGCCATGGCAAGTGAAGCAGAACAAGCCGCAGGCAAAGCAGACCTCGCAACACTCTACTAAACAACTGGGTACCTATCGTGGAAACGTTCAACACAAATTAAGCCAGTAGAGGACAACAATGAAAGTCACTCACCAAAGTAGTGAAGCAAAGGAAACACTGGGCGGAAGACTTCGAAAGACTTCTAAATCGACCGCCACCTACAACGCGTCCAATAATACCAACAGCAGAAGCAGAACTACCAGTGGACATCAACCCTCCGACGAAAGCAGAAATCCTGAAGGCAGTGAAGATGCTAAGGTCTGGAAAAGCAGCGGGATCAGATGGAATCCCAGCAGAAGCATTGAAAATGGACCCAGAGACAACAGCAAACTTGATGTCACCACTACTGGAGAAGATCTGGAAAGAGGGCAATGTACCTCAGGATTGGAAGAAAGACTATTTATTCAAACTGCCAAAGAAAGGAGACTTAAGTCAATGCAATTGCTGGCGCGGAATTATGCTCCTGTCCATCCCAAGCGAAATACTAAGCTGCATCATCCTGGAGAGAATCAAACAAGCCCTGGTTGAAAAACTCTGACCGGAACAGTCTGGATTCAGGAGGAACAAGTCATGCATCGATCAAATCTTAATACTAAAGATCATCATTGAACAGAGCTTGGAATAGCAGTCAGTTCTCTACCTCACTCAACTTCATCGACTTTGAAAAGGCATTCGACAGTGTCGATAGAGAGGTGATTTGGCAACTACTTCGCTACTACGGGGTGCCACCGACAGTTATACATCTCATCCAACAGCTGTACGACAATGCTGCAAGCCAAGTAATCCACAACGGGAAACTTACGGAATCCTTCGAAGTGAGGACAGGAGTAAGACAAGGCTGGCTGGCTGCTTACTGTTTCCAGTGATTTTCCTGATTGCGGTAAACTGGATGATGCGGCAGACAGCGGGCAGTGAGGAAACGGGCATAAAATGAACCCACACAAAAAACTTGGAGGATCTGGACTTCGCCAATGGTATATGTCTGATTTCCCACAAACTGGAAGATATGCAAGCGAAAAGCAACTAGTTGGCAGAAGAAGCATCCAGAGAAGATAGGCCTTCAGGTGAACACAAAGAAAACAGAGGTAAGTGATGAAGATTCTTGGCCAACAGCAAAAACAACAGACAATAATCAGCATAAATGGGAGGAATCTGAAAGAAGCAACCTGCTTTACCAACCGACCTGGGAAGCATCGTTTCAACTACAGATGTAGCTGACGAGAATACCAAAGCAGGGATCGGGAAAGCAAAGCAAGCTTTCATTGCTCTCAAGCTGATCAACAGCACACAGCATGCATTATAAGATCCGTTTGTCCAACTCCAAAGTGAAGTCAGTGCTACTATATGGATCAGAGACCTGGCGCGTCATGAAGAGCACCTCAAACAAACTACGGCCCTTCACCAACAGCTGTCTTTGCTCAATACTACTCAAGATCAGATGGCCGGCCAGAGAAGATCAGCAATAGGGATCTTTTACAGCGAACCAACCAGGAACCAATTGTGCAACAAATCTGCAGGGAGAAATGGAGGTGGATTGGCCATACTCTGAGAAAACCATCAAGTGACATCACTAGACAGGCCCTCTCTCGAGTGGAACCCGAACGAGAGGCGGTGAGTTGGTCGTCAGTGCGAGGGTGACTTGGAGGAGGTCATGTGAAGAGGAGATGAAGGCATGTGGGCAGACGTGGAGCCAGATGGAAACGTTGGCAGAGAATCGAACGCAATGGAGACGAGCGGCTGAAACCCTATGTTTCTCTAGGAACTAAAGGAAACAATAATAATAATCTAATATGGCATTACATTCTACTAAAGTGCCCAAGTTCTGCACTCACATTAATAGGGGTGTTCGATCAAAATTCTGGGAATTGACTGTGGAGATGACATACTATCTTATATACCTTCCAAAGATGGACACATCTCACAGAAGATTTCAAATTTCATGGGCTGAGTACATCGACGTGGAGTACTGGTCTCCTTTCGATTCGTCAACTCCTAGAACGCTCCCAGAAAATGTGGTATCTAAGGTCTGAATTGAATCTTCCAAGAGGGGACTGGAAGGACTAAGACACCTAGTAGAAGGGGATCAATACAGACTTGTAGTTTAGTATGCTTGACCAAATAACCGAAACTGACCTGTCCACTACTGAATTCTGAATATTGAGCCACTTTTGAATAAGGCGGTACGTCCACGAGGTATATTTTTTTATCAATACGTTTTGGTAGGGATTATGGAATCACCAGATACATTCCATTATCGTCACGAAGTGTCTTTACTGATACCATACAACTAATATTATTCTTATTCTATTTTATATATGCGTTCATGCTGAAGATGCAAATGCTGAGTTCTTTTAGTTTTGTGAGAATGTTTTTCGGAGTGTATACATTTCTGAGAGCTAGTATTTATTTAAAATTTCGACATCAAAAGAAGAAGACATTTGTTATTCGTAGCCATATATGCATGTGATCATGTGTCTCTTGGTCTCTGCCCCAGTGGTTATTACATATGAGGTGTCCAAATTTTGTCCGATTATGAACATCAGCTCCTTTTTGCTGTTTAATAAGCTCTGTATCACTTATTTATTGGTAGAACATTTTATATAGATTGATCTGGTCAAGACACTTAAAACCATGCTGATGATATAATCCTTCTAGGTGAAGACGCTGACAAAATGCATTTTTCTGAACACCTTGAGCAGCAATCTCCGAATGTTTGACACGCCACTCACTCCCGTTGGATGTAAGATGATTCCATAGGATCGGAATACATTGACTCCTAGCTTAAAGATAGGGAGTGAAGTGGTTAAGCGTGTTGACCACTTCACTTATTTGTGGAGTTGCACCAGCCGACGCCAGCGGGTTGGTCGCTGAAGAAATCTCAGCACAGATACAGAAGGCTCGTCTCGCATACACCAACTTACGCCATCCGTGGCCTAGACAAGATATTCGACTGGCTACTGACCAAATGGGGTGTGTACTGCTTAGCAGTCCACTCGGTCGTCCCTTATGGCTGCTCCCGAGACATGGCCATTAAAAGTGGAAGACATGAATAGCCTGGCTAGCTGTCTTTGACCACAGGTGCCCGTTCTATTTCCCGTGTTAGTTGGTGTAATAGGGTGAGCAATATTGAGGTAAGGCGTCGAGTGCTAGATAAGGAGGAGAAATCAATCGACGAATTTGTGAAGTCACACCGATTGAGATGGTTAGGACATGTGTTACGCATGCCTAGCCATCGCCTTCCTCGATGGGCACTGTTAGCTGACATAAAATGGATCAGGTTAGAAAAGAGGTAGTGGTAATCAAACCAAAATGTGCCTTCAGTCAAGGAAATCCACAACAGTTAGTTTAAGTCACGTAGGAAGGTGTAGACTTCCTGGTTGGGGTCCCCAGGATAGTAAGAACCGATGGCTGGAGACAATTGGTGATGTGGCTGAGAATCGTTCTAAATGGCGCAGATGTATTGACTCTTTGTGATTTATAACACCTGATAAAATTCTATTGTTCTTCTAAATTACTATTCCTTTCCCCCTCACACTTCTGTTTGTTGTCTCTCTTCTTAATCTGTCCTTACTTTTTTATCTTGTTTTGTGTGCTACATGGAGAGAGAGAGAGTGACAACTCGGACTGCTGCACATCTGTGCAAAGTTCTACTGTCTGACCAGTCAGTCACTTAAAACTAGAACTCTTACAGTTAATTATCGTGTATCCATCCTGTATTGTTATTCTTGCTGTAGCAGCATGTATTAACTAAAGTAGCCTCATGTTTACAGTATCATCGCCTGAAAAGTCTGAATTATGGTATGGATAATGAACACACCTCGCTAAGTTTGTGTTCATTATCCACGCCGTTGAAGTTTCGCAACGGTTGTTTATGCCATCTTCGTGTGTTTTTCCCCATAGTAATTTTTCATAGTTTACTTAGTAACTGTGACTTCCATTCTAATTTGATCTGTGATGCCTTAATTCCACCTTATTGTCGATCAATTGATTCGTGAAAATACCATGTTAATATGCGTTATTAAACTATTCAGAACAGGCGGCTAAATTATATTACTAAAGGAACCACTACTCATTATATGATGAGGTATAGAGTCGATCTTTTTTTACCTGGCTACATACTTATCAACGTTGACTTTCTGTACAGGCAATCGTAGTTTTCATCATTAAGTTCACCACAAATTTACATCACTTTCCTAGCTTGTTAGGCCTAGTATATTACTGTATCATTATGTGAAAACTAAGCACGGTTGTAATTATGCGCTTCTGTTATAGACCATGTATCATTCAAAGTACATTGCACCAAGTCGCAAAACTCCCATATCTAATAGCCATATTATATAATGTGGAATAAACGCAATTCAAAAGAAGAAATATATCGGGAAGAATCAGGATGTAAAGCCACTAAAATATGTACAGCGTAACGTTCATGCATTAATAGCATTTGCTTATCTAGTTACTTTTAAAGTGATCTTAGTTAGTCTCCATAAGTGACAGCATATAAACATGTAGTGTCTCCCTGACCGTTTCACCTAAGTTGCACAAAGCTAGTATAATATGTCGTACGTATGCATGCACACTTGAACAGGATATATCTCATCCGATTTATTGGCATCACCTTTTTGTCTTTACTAAACTGACTACAAATGTGCTTAATTTCTACTGGGTTAGTAGTCAACAAAATCTCAGTGCTCATACTAGATTACTCTGGTTTTTATCAATTTGCTACTTTAGTATTTACTTTAGTTTGTAACGTTCTTAGATAATCATTGTACATTCACTCTATTATTCATTTTTATATGTTTTACTCGTTTTTATTTCATGCTTGTAGCGAGAAAATGTATGCCGATATATTTAGTTCTTCTGAAAGTGAAGATGAGGAGCCAGTTAGGCGCATTGAACCGCGTCCAGTACACTTTTCAAGCGATGAGGAAGATACTAAACGTATCGTCAAAAGTGGTCGCAATAAACGGTATGCGAATATGTCACACTCACCTCCATTTTCAATAATAAAGGTGCGAAGAAATGCAAAGCATAATCAAGAACTTGAACAATCATAAAAAAATTAAAGACATGTCAAATATAATCATAGGTATAAAAAATATCAACTTTCAAGCTTCATTATTCTCACTAAACAAATAGATTTCCAGAATTTGGTAAAAGTTTACGAGAAATCTGTTCAAATGAATGATTTTGAGGGTGTACCACCATTTTATGTGCGGTGTATAGCAGAGCTTGAAGATTTCGTGAATGATTCATGGGAGAAGAAAAAGGACATGAACAAAGGTGCCGTTAAATCATTAGCTACGTTAAAACAACGTGTGAAAAAGTACACAAGGCTTTTTGAAGCAAATATACGAGATTTTCGAGAGGTAGGTGTACTATCCCTAACATGACTCACATGATTTCTAGAATTCAGAAAATTATTTAGAGGAAGAGCCTGGTGTTTCTGGTAATTTTTGTGTTTCTTTGTGATTCACTCTCAACTTTCAGATACTGATGCTAATGAGCGAGAAGCAGAACCTTCGCCAACCAAGGTAATTGTGATTTTTGCAGTTTATACTCTTATTTTTTATATTTTGTTAAAATGTGACTGACTTATAACACTTCTGTTTTCTGATAAGTAACGGTGATACTTTTCCTATAAATTTTCTCTGGATTGTAAAGACATTAAATATGTATTTAGATTTTACACGAGGAGCCCCGTTGTTATGAGGTCTGTACCAGTGATTAATATAATTAGTTAACTTCCAATCACACCAAGCAGTAGGTGACATTTTGTCTTGAGCTGTGTATTTAATGCTTCACTGTGTTCATATTTGATATTTCTCTTCCTAGGCTGCTGCAACTTTACCAACTGCTGCTGCAAAGAAATCTGTGCGAAAGTCAATTGCATCGGATTCGGAGGATGAAGATGACGATGACACAGATGACAGTGACAGTGACGATTTTTCAGATGATGACAGTTCAAGTACTAGCAGTATCGATATCAATTTAGAACGTTGTAAGGATCCTTCAGTCTACTTTTTAAAGGATACTTCGGATGACAAAAAGGTAAGGTTCAATAGTATATATATATATATTAGTGGTTTTGTTTTTCAATGATTTGTAAGGTACATTAGTGTCGTAGCTGCTGAGAATAATCTCAGTCGATACGACTGGTTGCTTTGTTTTAAGGATTAGTAAAAGTATCACAGCCTAAAGTTCGTGATTTCAACTGTGTGAAGTCGCAACATGCTAATATAAGGTTTCAGAATAGTTTAGAAAGCTGTTCAGTTATGCATTTTTTTATTCCTTCACGTTCCAAGTGGAACATAGGGCTTCAGGCTAGAGGCTTGAAGTTTCTGTAGCAGTGATTATTTTTACAGGATGGGGTTGCTAGCCTCATGCCCAACCTTTCCTCTTTACCAGCCTTTTTTATTACTGGCTTAGCGAGGTAAAGGGAGTGCGTCGGCCGGAGATCGAACTCCGGACCATGTGCATGGTCGGCGAGCGTCCTAACCGCTGTGCCACCGACGCACTCAGTTATGTATGATTTTAATTAATTTATCTGTGAATGACTATTTGGCTTTTACTGTGAATGATTAGTTTAGTAGGATGAATGTTCCCATTTCCAGATTTGCAGAGGCTAAAGTGGTCAAGTACTGTTGTTATTTACCTGTATCAAATTAGGATTATTTATAGCCTATCACACAAACTTGCATATCGTTTTCCGGTCGCATGTTTTCAAGGCAAATAATTACAACTGTCGTTTACCGTAATCTTTCTTCTGCTTTTCACAAAGTTACATTTTCAGAAACTACCTAAATTTCAAGCTGTGGGACGTTCTGAGTGCACTCTAATTGTCCAAAGAATTACTTTACCTATCATTTGCTTTGATGATGCTCTGCTGTCTGCATTGAACGATGGGACAGTAGGTATGGCAGTGTTGTAGGCTCAACGAGGGTTTTGTGCTATAAATATACAACCTGCGTTGATAATGTTCTGTGCGAGGTTTTGCCTAGTTAGGTCGCGGGTTCGAATCTTGATGTTCTCATTGGCTCAGATGCATTCACTTTTCATGAGTGCGTCGGCCTGGGATCGAACCCCGAACCATGTGCATGGTCGGCGAGCGTCCTAACCGCTATACCACCGACGCACAGGATTATGGATCTATTATTTTTAATGTGATTATTCTTTCTCCGAAAACTAGGGATTATTATAGTTTCTTTGGATTTCGTTTCTTTCCTGTACCTCTGCATGAACCTTTATGAAGTGTAGCAACTTGAACTGATGCACTTTTGTGCAAAGTTCTACGATATCCAGCTTCACCTAACTAATTTTGGGCAACCAAGTAATATCACCGACCCTTACACTACAGGTGTGCGTCATTGTAACACATAACATGCCCAACGACTGGCGTATGAAGCTCACTGGAGCTCACCGGCAGACGTATGGACAAAGGGCTTGTTGGATGTCCTGGATGTCTGTCCCCATTCAAAAAGGCGTATGAACCGAACTCCGGTCACCGGCTGCCAATGGATAGTGGACTCCCTACTCCACACAAGTACATAACATGCATATGGTTGTTGGGTAACATATCGATCTTTTTATCGATACATGTTCAGAATAATAGTGTAGAGTAGTTAGTTTCAACATTTAATTGTTTCGTAACGTTTTTTCTGTGTTAAACAGTTATACTTATACGTTTCTGCATAATCGTATTTGCTCGCATAGTTTTTAATATGAGTTGTGTTGCTTCTTACATTACCTGAGCTAATCAAATGTTTCTTTTGACGTTCAACAACAACGTCATACAAATTCACTTGGTTTCTTTTGGGTATAATTTTCACAACTTACTGATGGAGCATGAATCTTTTAAACGTGGTTCAACAGTACTAGACTGTGTTACTACTTCCGCCACTCACCTGAGCTTATTTACGGACTGAGGATGACCTACTCCACTATACATATTCTTCATAAGTCGTCTCAGTTCAGATGTGATTTACCCTTTTGTTCATAGTGATTCTCACCATTAGCGCCAGAGGGTGGTAGATTGTTGTGCGCTTTATTCGATACGAACAAGTCAGTTATTTAGCCAACGCTGAACTTGTTGTCTGCCATTTTATATGGGTAAGAATAATCTCATGACTCCCTCCGTTAGTCACAAAGCGGTGCATCAGACTAAGACACATGCTTAATGGAGACACCTTAACATGCCTCTGGATACGAGATTCCACCACCAATCCATTATTCATACACCTCGCTTCACTGCAACAGATCTCGGAGGACGACTTGTTTGTCCTTGTAAGTGTCTCATCAGGATTGCCAAATCCATCGCAGCTCCGCCCTGGCCTTCAAACACTCAACACATATTATGGCCTCTGGATCCTAACCTCGTTAATTTTTGAGGCAGCTCGAAGCCTTGGCACCCCACAAGAGGCTAAAGAGCTGTCACAAATCAAACCTAGATGTCGAAACTTGTAGGTTTCCAGGTGTCACGATTTGGCGATACGTAACAATACTTGGTAACTTAAGTCAAAGTGGCTGAGGAAAGATTTGAATTTAAAATCCACGGATTGACCTAGGCATTCAATTATGAATTTTAATGATTAATTATGCGCATATTCACTTGACAGCAAACATATAACATTTAGCTGCACAACCAAATTACTTATTATTTTCGAATACATGTTGCATTTATTCGATTTACTTTCAATTCTTTTCGTTGCTTAACAAGGCTGTAAGTACTGTTCTCTGTATATGCTCCACTTTTTTTCACAGGATAAGGCTAAAGTTAAGAAACTTGCAAAAGACAGACCAAGTAAGAAACAGCTACGCGCTGCTGCTGAAATGGAAGATGGGACTTGGACAACAATTGATTCCTATGGTCGACCAGAGGTTCAAATTCAAGCTTTCGAAAAAGGTCAAGAGATTAATTTTGAGGTTGTTGTAAAGAAGATGGAAGAGATTTTAGCTAGCCGGGGTAAAAAAGGCACAAGTACCAGTGATCAAATTGTTTTGCTTATGCAAGTTGAAGAAAAAATAAGTGAGTCTTGGCGTAAAGTTATTTTTTTCCTTAAATAAAGTATTCTGTGAATAAAATGATGAGTATTTCAGTGAAATGATACAGGCGACAATCGTAATTTGTTATGTACATTCATCTATGGATTTCCATTCCTTTGCGTTTCGAGTGAAACTTTTAAGGCTTCATTAGCAGTGGTATTGTTTTTTACGGAGTGGAGTTGCTCGCCTCACGTCCAACCTTCCCTCTTTTCCCGGTTTACTTCCGTCTAGTAGATCGGGCGAGGTGTAGGATTGCGTCGGTCGGGAATCGAACCCGGATCATCTGCGTGTCTGGCAAGCACCCTACCCCTCAGCCACTGACGCACTAATCTCTGTTCAACAATTACTAATGTATTAGTTTATTTTACTCACCTTACTTCACCTTTATTGTAGTTGAGTCCCCTACCATATCTGTGACAATCCTATTCTCATGACGATAGAGTCATCTCAAAGATTCCCCGTTTGGATATTGAACTGTCTGTTCGTACAGGAGTTAAGTGTAAAGTAGGTGCATGAGTAAGAACCGGCACCCGACTGTTTTTGTTCAGCTGGTGTGATCACGCTTTGGGGTTTGAAACGAAGGGTGCTAGGTTCCAGTGTCAGTGGAAATCGCAATCATTCACTGGGGATTGCAGGTACATCCAGCGGACAAATCCCAAATCGGATGAAATGTACATCCTAGATTCTACTGCTAGTCACCATCCACCCAATAAAATATTACCGTTCTGTTTATAATAAATGGTACAATTAGACATTGTTTACTGTTAGAATTTGTATACCTTTACTGTTGGGTTTACATATTTTTCAGTTTTCCGATTGCCTCATTTTAAGAGTGATTGGATTTTATTAGGTATTCTAGAGTTGTAAATAAATCACTTCTGGCTCACATGTGTCCTTTATGGACTAATGAACAGAATTATCTTTTGCCCTATTCAGGTAGGTAGTTACCTGGGGTTCTAGTGAGAAGTCGTGACCAGTAGGGTGCAGCAGGTCGGGTGTGAGGACAAATACTCGCCGAAGACATTGGCTAGGGGTCGCGCTATGTCGTGAATTGGCAGAAGTTGGAATTCATGGACTGGTCATTGGATCGGGTCCCGGTGGCTTAACGGTCTACGACGTCGCCTTGTAATCAGAGGGTCCTGGGTTCGAATCCTTTCGGTGGGTGCGTACTGATGAAGAGTCCCAAACTAGGACGAAACAGCTGTCCAGTACTCCCAGGCTTTCCAATGATTCTCTAACTAATGTCAGCTCATGATGAAAATCCTGTAACCAATCAAATCCCTACAAACCAACACGAGAATTATCTTTCTTCATCTGATTTCTTAAAGCTGTTTACTCATGATCTAGGTAGTATGGAACTGTGATCTGATCTATTGGTCTAGGCGCTCGACTTCCAACCAGTGGGTTACGGATTCGAGCCTCACCCTACCTACTAAGGTTTAGGCAGCCAGGTAGTATGCCTAGCCGTCACACACAATAGGTGTCTGGTTGATTGCCAGTAACTGTGGAATCGCAAATGGTCGTTGGGTAACATTCGCTCATTCATACATTCATCTGGTTATAATGCCTTCTGCTCTATCAGGATCTTTCTCTTTAGATTCAAGTGTACTGTTTTATTTACCATTACTGTAGTAGTAGTAAGTCAATCGGGTGGTTATTGTTCCAATAAAAGCTTTTGTAATTTTACACGGACAAAAAAATCTTAATGAGTTTCTTTTTTTTGTCTTACAGAGGAATACAACTTGTCGCGTGGATTACTTGCCAAGTTATTATTCGCTTTTATTAGTATCCTGTTTGATTACGACAAGAAGCATGATTGTATGAGCGCTAGTGCATTTGATCGGTAAGCTCTCTATGTACTATATATGTTGACTGGTTAATTGAATTATAATTTATAAAAGCGCTTTTCATTCAAATTTCATATTTGCATCAACAGTCTACAGGACTTGTCATTTAAACGTGTCAAGAAATTTCATTCAGTGACTATATATATATATCCTTACATTTGGAAAGTATATCGAGCTTATTGTTTGATAATTGGTAATGCTTCTGATAAGTTGTAATGGTGTATAAAGAATTAGATATATGTGTACACATTACTATTATTAAAACAAACTTCGTACGTTATGGGCACCAAGGGATACACTCCACACAATCTCATAATTTGTGCTCTGGCTGGGATACTGCCCGGACTCCCAAACCGAAGCAGGCGGTTATCTTAAAGCACCGGAGCCTTTGACTTGAAATCCATTTCACAAGGCAATGGAACAGCGTCCACAGCTACGTTCCCATAGTTTCCAGTGACCGAAATAGGTTCATACGCGATTTGATCCTTTCGATTCTGGATTCCATGTACACTGTAGGTTTGAAATCAGGCTCTTCCAACTCCCCTTGGTTAGGCCAACATGTCCACCAATCCACTTGTAAGCGCCAAACTTTTGTTATCATTCTTTCGCTTTTGTGGGGAACACTGACATGTAGAGGCTGTGAATAAGACTGACCTAGTAGAGGGTAGGAGCGTGTTTCGAGAAGAAGAATAAAGTCTACCTATCCTCGGCCGTACCAGGTCATTTATGGGGACATGGGTAGTAGTGAATGTGAAACCCACCAAACCAGGTGTACGTTTGTGTACTAGACTATGCTCATAGCTTATAATACCACTACTCAGTCACATAGGACAAAGATTTCGTTATCATTGCATGTTACGTTACTCATCTCGTATTCTCAACTAATACTCTGTGTAGGCTTCCGAATGTTAATTAGCTGTTGAATGATGGCAATACATCACAATAGTGTATAATGAAGAGAAAATCATTGTGTTAAGGTGATACGATCTGCATATAAGCAATAAATTGTGCTCAAAATGTCGTCGGTAAATAAATAATATTGTACCATTGTGTTGTTTGAAAAAATAAAATTATTGTTATATCTAGGACACGTGTGTTGTGCTTGTCGAGTCGACGCCTTCCTCAACGAGCAATGTTACCTGACATAAAATTAAGTTGGAAAAGACGTAGAAGTGGTCAAATCAATAAACTACACCAAAAACATGAAGTCTTTGGCTATTGATTTGAGCCACATTAAAAGAGGTGTAAATTGCATGATGGGGGTGGGTGGGAGTTGTCGTTGAGTTGCTAAAAACAAGGGGCTTGAGACCATTTTAAGATGATATGGCTCAAAATCGTTCTGAATGACGCAAGTGCATCCATTCTTTGTGATCTTCCTTACCTATTAAGCCGTCAGGTTTTTCCATGTTTCTAATAATTATCCTGCACATTTCTGCTTATTATAGTTCTTTTGAATTGCATTTTTATCTTTTCTCAACCTTTGTGAGCTACATAGAATGTGGCAACTTGAACTGATGTACTTCTGTGCAAGGTTCTATGACGAAATTCATTCAGCCAGTCATTCTATTATGGTATTTAACTATAATGTGGAATAATCTCTTAACTAAATTCAGTTGACTTTCTGCACAGACTGCGAATATAATACTTGCTAATGAGAGCTTGTTAGTCGTCAGTCTACTGCTTAGAATGTCTTGGTGAAGTTTGTTTAAAGTAAACTTAAAATAGAGGAACAAACGAGCTTTAGGCTTTAGACCAGGTAGAGGGTGCATAGATCATATCTTCACTCTCCGACAGATCCTAGAACATAGACACATTTTTCGGCGTCCAACAATTGCTATATTCCTTGACTTGAAGGCGGCCTTCGACTCCGTGGATCGAAAGGTACTATGGCAATGTTTGATTGTGAAGGGAGTGCCAAGAAAGTACATTGCACTAATCAAACTCATGTAGCCGTGTAAGGGCTTATGGGGAATTGTCATCTAAATTGATAACAACCAGTGGTGTCCGTCAAGGATGTCCACTTTCCCCATTTCTGTTTAACTTCGTCATATATATTCTAATGGGAGTATCCTTGACTGAACTTAACGAATTAAGAATCGACTTGTTACCAGGGAATAGTCTTATGGACTTAGAATATGCAGATGACATAGTCCTGTTAGGGGAGGATGCTGACAAAATGCAGAGTCTTCTGAACACCTTGAGCAGCAATCTTCGTATGTTTGGCATGCGATTCGCCCCTGTAAAATGTAAGATGCTGCTACAAGACTGGACTACGTCAACTCCTAGCTTAGTGATAGGAAGTGAAGTAATAGAGCATGTTGACCACTTCACCTTCGGTGCCAAGTTCTATGTTGAATCCAGACAGACAGACAAACTTAAGATACATTAGAAAATATCCAAAAGTACTGACATCTAATTGGATTTACTTCAAAACTTTTTTCTAAGTTAACCCAATTTGCGTTGTAGTCTTTTAAAAATATATATCTTTATGTAAGGGATACGTGTAGTTAAGCTACTGACCAAAATTTCAGAGTATAAACCATTTCATGTAATGTTAGAATACGTATATGAGGTAAGAGTTTCAAGACATTGAAAGTTGTTGACTCCTAATAGGCTCAGACATTTCGTTTCTTTATGGGAACGAACAGCTGTTCCATTCTAGCTTGGGGCTCCTTGGCATTACGCACCCAAGACGTTCAAGTTATGCGGTGAGCCCACTGACCATTAAACCCCACTGTGGGACAGAGTCCCACACCTTGGGCTCGATTCCCGGTGGGGTCATGAATGTGTGTTATTTGAGGAGTCCCGAATTGGGACGAAACAACTGCCTAGGACTGCCTGATTATCAGCAAATCTCTGCAAATCAGCATTTGATAATATGGTCAAATATTGGCTGATAATAGTAGCTTTGTAATTAAAGTTATAACCTACAACTTATCGTTTGACTTCCTTTTCTCTGTAGCACTATCAATGCCTTTGATCGCTTATTCGATCTGTTAAATGAAGTAAATGTGGAATTAATTCCAGTCGATTCTAGTGATGATGAATCCTATGAGGTATGTTTGGTTTGTGTTGTTGTTGTTGTTATTGTTATTGTTCACAACAGACACGTGTCTGTAAAGCTCATATGTGCAATTAACTGGTGAAACACATCAAAAATAGAAGATGACAGGTATATAATGTTAATCAGATACTGGTAAATTTTGTCCTTGGAAAATTGTATTACATAATGTAAGGTGTAAGAAGGGATGACTAATTGTAAGTTAGAAAGGAGACAGAAGTTGGCATGACGTAATAAGTGTGAGATAATGAATAATTAATAAGCTCGTGTAAAATGGACAGGAACTAGTGGAAAGGCTATAAATGTCTGAAGAAGACATCTCCAACAGCCACTCTACGTATCACATTCTCCTGCAGACAGTTAATCCAGTCTAACGCTAAGAGCAAGATACCGCTTTTGGCCACCTCAATGTGTATTTATCAATTTACTTGCTCGTGTGGAGCAAAGTATATTGGCCGTACGCAACGTCAAGTTCACAAACGTATTCTGAAACACTGCCCAGCTTGGTTATCCAGAGGAGAAAAGAAGAATAGCAACAGCTCGATCCTCGAACACCTTGTCATCTCTGGACATCGAGCACCCCCACATGAATGCTTCACAGTGTTACACAGAGTCCCTCAATATCGTACAAAGGGACTTCGGATACGCCATCTGTACATAGCTGAAGCATTAGCTATTCGGGATCTGAAACCGGACCTCGGCATCCAAAAGCGATACATACATTCTCTTGCCTTACCATGGCCAGAGTAAAGTTCTCACCACAATTTTGCTTCTTTCCTTTATTATGTAAGTTCACTACTATTACTATTATTATTTTATTTTATTAATACTTTTTATTATCACTATTGTTCCTATCATCCACATTTTATTATCACTCTATTACTGTTTATTAATAACATTGCTTTTCATACATATTTTATACAAAAACACTATGGCCTTTCCACTAGTTCCTGTCCATTTTACACGAGCTTATTAATCATTCATTATCTCACACTTATTACGTCATGCCTACCTCTGTCTCCTTTCTAACTTACAATTAGTCATCCCTTCTTACACCTTATATAATGTTAAACAATTAAAAAATAAACCATCTAGATTGCTGTTTCGCATAATTATCCTCCACAAACAAATGTATGCTAAGTTACCTATTTATTCAGTAAAAGTTGTTAAGCACTGTATCCCGAGCGGGAAGAGTAAACCAGTGTGACATAGAAGTTCATACAGAATAGTTTATACTCGTTTTTAAGTTTTATCATATACTGAAAGTCAGCAGGAAGTTCTGGATAGAGGTTTCGTCCTTGTCTTAGGACTCATCAGCATTACGTGATCAAATTTAAAATCAATCAAATCCCTGCAAAACAAATACTTGGAAATTAATCAACTGGTCGCTGATGACTGGCTACAGAATGAATTTGCCTGAAATTTCATTGAGAAGTCGTGGTCAGCGGGATTCACCGAGTTTGGGTTTGAGGACACTCTCATTGATATTGGCTGGCAGAAGTCAGAATGGATAGACGATTGGATTCCGCCGCAGTTGCTGAATTGTCAACCTGAAGGTCCTGGGTTGGATTCCTGGTGGGTCAGAAACTGGGACGAAACGGCTATCCAGTACTCCCTGGTTCTCTAACTGAATTCAGTTTGCTATCCAAACTGAAATTGATCAACACCCTGTTTAGCAACACTTGAGTTTTCGTTCCTACTTAATTTTATTGCTTTTTGTTGGTAAACTCATGTATTGTAGTAGGATGGTGGTCATTCTTGAAATAAGAATTCGTAACTGTCATAGCCGCAGATGTAAATCATACTACCACACTGAATTTTTAATTCAACATTATGACTGTCTGATCATGAGCTTCCAGTTCTCTCTCTATGTCTTGTTGTTTCTCCTTGCAATTCATTTCCATTGACTCACAGTCTTCCTATTGCTTTCTGTTGTTCTTTTTTTAATGTGAAATAGACTGAACCATATCGTATTAGAGCATCCCTGTTGACAGTGGTTGGTCTTCTGGATGTTGAGTGTTTCAAAGTTCTGCAAAATGCCAATGGTCATGAATCGGAATATGTTGATCGGTAAATATGATTTTGATTCTTATAGTCTGTGTATAAATAAATCAAGTTAATTAATCGTATAGTGTTTTTAACTATAAAAGATCATTTTACATAGAGCGCTGAAGTTACATACATTTTCTGATGCATAGAGTGGGGTTGTGAAGTGATTGATTGATTGATTCACAGTAAAGAATTCTTTGATGATTTATTTCAGTACAACAGTAACTAAGACCACATCCAGTTTGCTGTATAAGCAGCAACGAAGACAGCTGCTGATAAGCTGTAATCAGAGCTTAACAGGAACCAGCAGGTCTCTGTAACGTCATTCAAAGTAACTGAGTGATACAAGGAGATTGGTTCCTCCGGGCTGTGAAAATGACAATGAACAAAACATAATTGACAAAATTTTGGTGATACCTGTCAGTTATATAGTCTTCTTTAAAAAAGACTGGCTTTTAAAGGGCTATGACAAGTGAAATGATAGCTGAGAAGAACAGAAGTTCAACAACTACCGCCTAGATTACTAGCTCGCTAGTTCTCTAGCCGGTCCCGAGCCCGGATGAAGAGGGAGGGTTGGGGCGTGGTGCTAGCAAAACTCCACCCTCAGAACTTAACCAAATCGCTACAGAAACTTCAACGCATAAATATATTAAAAATACTAAAAAAAACATAAACAACTACCAAAACACAGTGTTAAATAAGCAAAGAGTGTCAATTGATGAAGTTGCAATCTTCTATCAGTTGAATTGGCTAGATCATGCGCTACACATGTTCTATCCCCTACACATATCTTTGTCTATTTTAGCATCATGCAATTTTTGTCCACTTTCTTTTGACTGCTTCGAATTGTGGTAATGCTTAGTAATGCAATTCTGTGGAAGGTTCTACGTTGATTTATTATCTGTTTGCAAAGAATTCTTGGAGATACAAGACGACAATCCATAGTTTAAAATGCCCATATTTCGGCCGGCTAAGCCTATTGTTCAACTTAGCTTAGTATTTGGAAGCTGAATATGCTAATTTGAAATTGTTAGCACGGTTTTAAGAGATTAAAAGTGGTGCTTAGCTGGATCTAGTTGCAAATTAAAGACGACTTGAAAGAACTGTATGATAGAGCGCAGGTAGTTGTAGTTTTTCGACTACCCACATAGTGAAAGTTGATATCTTATTGGAGTGCTTCAAAAAAAGTAAAATGGGTTGTTTCTGTAACACCATGGAGGCTGGAGAATGAATACTCGATCCTGGTCTTGTTCTTTCTACGTCTATTCCGTCCGTGTAACGAACCTCAACGTGGTTACACTATGCTGTTGGATAAACGGGGATTCACTCTTTAATTGACTTTTCTGACATGGCAGAGGCTCCGAAAGCAATTCTTATAGGAATCTTAACAGGCGTCGATCACTTATCCAGAGAAGTTCATAAAGTAGCTGTCAGCCAAAATAGTTCTGTCTCTCATTTCCTTGAATGTATTCATGTGGAAGCACTTTAACGCCTATTAATTCGGTGAATTGACTCGTCTTATCCCAAAAATCTCCAGCTTCTGTTTTAATCTTCGGTTGACAAAGGCTCTTTTTTAAAAAAAATCGTTAGCTTTTAACATTCTATTTAGTTAAGAGTGCATTGTTATTCTGACTGTAGTTTTCTGCATTCATTTTAGACTTCGAGATGAACGCAGAGTTTGCGGTGTAATAGATCGTTTGTGTGCATACTTGGAAAAGAAAGAATTTCCACCGGATGCTTTATGTGTTGCTTATCTTCATAAACTTGAACACATGTACTATAAGGTAGGAGTTTCAGGTTTTTGGACAATGAACTTATTTTGTATTTATATTTACTCCATTCGTTTATTGTTCTTAGATAACGTAACAGCGCATAAAAAAGTTTTATTATAGCTTGTTATATATATGTCCATGCTCATCCGCAACTTTTGACAAACCTATGTTCCTTTCATAGTTAAAATCTGTGTCACTCAGTATATTATATATATTATTGTTAATATTCCCTTGTGAAGCGTCGTTTCAACTGCAGGCGGAACTGACGAGGATATCAAAGCAAGAATCGGAAAAGCAAGACAAGCTTTCATTACTCTCAAGTCTGTGTGGAGTTCAACAGTGCGCAGCATCAACAATAAGATCCGGATTTTCAACTCCAGTGTGAAGTCAGTGCTACTATACGGATCAGAGACTTGCACTGTGCGTCATAAAGAGCATCTCAAACAAACTACAGACCTTCATTAACAGTTGTCTTCGCTCAATACTCAAGATCAGATGGCCGTTCAGAAAAGATCAGCAACGGAGATCTCTGGGAGCGAACCAACCAGGAACTGATGGTGAAACAAATATGCAGGAAGAAATGTGGATGGATTGGCCATACTCTGAGGAAACCATCAAGTGACATCACTAGACAAGCCATTGCTCGAGTGGACGCCGAAAGGGAAGCGGCGAGTCGGTCGTCAGCGTGAGGGTGACTTGGAGGAGGTCATGTGAAGAGGAGATAAAAGCATGTGGGCAGACATGGAGGCAGGTGAAGACTCTAGCAGAGAACCGAACGCAATGGAGACGCGTGGCTGAAGCCCTATGTTCCTCTAGGAATTAAAGGAAACGATAATAATAATTCCCTTGGGTTCTGAGTAGAACATAGAACTTCAACAGCGCGTCTCCATTTTGTCCTGTTCTCTGCAGTTCTCTTCAACTGACCCCATGATTTCCGATAAGCTTTCATCTCTTCCTTACACTACCTCATCTATGTCACCCTCGCACACCCAATTCATCGTTTGTCATTCAGTTTCCACTCGATGTCTCCTCAGTATGTGTCCGATCCATCTCCGTTTCCTCCTGTATATTTACTAAGAAAAAGGTTCTTGGTTGATTCGTTTCTGGAGTTTCTTATTGCTAATCCTATGCGGCCGATAATCCCATCTTCATGCATTTATTCCCCTTGATGAATTTGAATAAAGCAAGAACGAAAGTGGTTTGTGCAGTCTGCACAAACCACTTTCGTTCTTGCTTTATTCAAATCCCATCTTCATTATGGAGCCATTGAAGAAGGCAGGTGTTGTTAAAAGTCTACACCAGCTTGTTGTAAATGCTTTCGGTTAAGCATCAAGTCTCTAAACCATATAGAGAAGAACTGATTTGACATTGGTGCTGAAAACGCGAATCTTGTTCTCTGTTGTGAATGCAGTAGATTTTTAGATTAATGAGCGTCCGCCTTGCTTTTCGGATTCTGGTTGACTCTAGCATCTTTATCCGTACCGCTCTCAGTTGAAACGACACACTTCAAACATTGTGCGGACATGGAATATATCCACATGCTTATTTTTGCTTTCATCGAAAGAGGACACATCCTGCCTACTGCTAATTTCTTTAAGCATTGAACTATGTGTAGCGATTTTTTATCTATCAGTGTGAATGCGTATTTTCCCAGCCGTCGGTGGCACAGTGGTTAGGACTCTCGCCGACCATTCACATGGTCCGAGGTTCGAGCCCCTGCCGGCGCACACCCGATATCTATGGTTGGCCTGCAAAATTTGGGCTACCGATATCCATGCTGAAAATGCCATACTTGTACTGAAAATACGGTGTGGCATCAAGCTGTAACCAAAAATTAAAAAAAAAAATAATAAACGAACGTAAAACTCTGTGCAGAAGTTTATCATTTCAGGTTGATACATCTCTGAAACGACATACAATAGCAGATAAATGCCAAGGGAAAAAATTCACTAACAAAGTGTAAATATGTAAGCATTGCCCGTAGATATTTTCCAGCCCAAATCACCGAAAATGTCCACAACATTCATTCATCCCAACAATTCTGCTCTCCTAGTCCGACAAATCTATATCTTTCTGCGTCGAATAAGCTTAGCAGTCACAGATAAGTTTCATGGATTAATGACTAGTTTTGATTTGAAAGTCCTTAATCCTCCAACTACCTAATCTTTCTTTGCTTAACATTCTTGCTTAGTCACCATCCACAAATTAAATTCTAATTAAATGCCCAGACATCGTCGAAGCATCTGCACAAGAAGCCGACAGACATGTCAACCTGAGACCGAGCACTTCGGTCCAATCAATCGACGGGAAAATCTCAAATTCAATTAAATTCTTGCTTATTCATTTGTTGTTTCTACGTTGCATATACATATCATTCGCTTTACAGATTCACATTTTTCGTGATGCATTATATCAGGAAGAGAAATGTAAACTTCAGTAGAGTGGAGAAGAAGGAAATCACTTTAATTTTGGGTGCGGTGCTGCTCATTTGGAAACCAAGGGGCACAGAATGCCTTCTGCTTAAAGCTTGAATTTCTGTCATTAGATATATCTGCTTCTCAAACAGAATGTGGGAAGCGGTCGTTCTTGATTTGAAATCAGCATCTTGATAGGTTGTATATCTTCTTCCCTAACACAACTTCCTGTTGAATGAACTTCATTCTAAACAGTTATTTATATATATATCTCTGTTTACTATTCCTTTCAGTTCGACTTTGAATGGGGTCGTAAAGTAGAAGCTTCAAGTATGGAAGAGGTTGGATTGCATCCAAATACCTTAGTTGTTCAAAAACTCAGCGAATACATATACACACATGATCGAACTGATCGTTTGCGTACTAGAGCAATCCTCTGTCATATTTATCATTTAGCTCTGTTCAATCAATGGTTTAAAGCACGTGATTTAATGTTGATGTCCAACCTACAAATGTCAATAGAACATGCGGATCAATCAACTATGGTAAGTTATATTGTGCAGTTAGGGTTAGCTTTCTTTTCTTTCATTCTGCACTTTACTGTTTATCTAACTAAATACAAGGAATAAGGGAGTAAGGCGAAAATTCTCAACGTTTCATCACACCAATATATACCACTTCACCATATCATGAAGAGTATAAAAATCATAAATACAGCAAAAGCGTTATAATTATGCGGAGCATAGAAATGTAGCTGACTGGCCTTAGCCCTCGACTCACCAGTGGGTCCCGGGTTCGAATCCCATTTCATCTGTTTCACTCTGAGCAACTGGTGGCTAGTCTCAACAGCTCTCACACAATGTGTGTGGCTCAACCTGGCTATCGATAAATCTTTGGCTTTAACTGAGTTCCGACAACAACAAATAATTATGTAGATAGTGTATGATCATATTAGCAAATCATAGTATGTCAACGTCACTGATTATGTTGCAACTATTTTGAGGGTCTGAATATTGTTTGTTACTCAAACTTGTTAGTCGTATTCAATATTATCCGGCGTGGTTTGTTTAAATAATTGGGCTACCCTAATTTTCCATGGTGCATTTATTATTTATTACAATTCCCTTAGGTCCCGAGTAGAGCATAGGGCTTCAACAGCAATTCCCCATTTTGTCCTGCTCTCTGCATTACTTTTTAGCCAGGTCCACGACTGCCGATAAGTCCTCATCTCCTCCTCACACGACCTCCTCCATGTCACCTTCAAACGCCCCACTTGTCGTTTCTCATTTGAGTTCCACTCAAGCGTCCATCTGGCGCGCGATGCCACTTAACGGTCTCTTTTTAGCATGTGTCTGATCCACCTTCACTCTCTTCAGTATATTTGTTGAGTAATAGGTTCTTGTTTGGTGTGTTCCCAGAATTCCTCGTTACTTATCCTTTCCAACAACTGGCCGTCTGATCTTCAGTGTGGAGCCATCGAAGGCGTGTTGAAGATGTTCTTCGTAAAGCACCTGTCAAAAGTTTTGAAGCCACGTAGAAGAATTGACTTAACATTGGTGTTGAAAATGCATAGAGCATAATGAGTCAAATGTACTCAGTTATGCCTTGTTTTAACCCACTTATTTACATTCTTGAAGAGCAATCTGTACTCACGTGCATTTCTGAATCGTTTTCAATATACTCCTTGATCTGTTATAAAAGGACAAACACGTCGGGTATCGGAGCATGTTGCAGATAGAACAAAAGCCCGTCGATTGATATACTTCAGGCTACTGTTTTGCTTGAAAATTCCTTATATGGAGTAGATAAAACGAAGCTGAAAATTCTGTAGTGTGTATTTTTCATTTTGGAAAAACGTCGAGGGCCAAGTTTAACTTTAAGCACCACTGACTACCAGTCAGCGAATGACCTTGAATGGTCCAATGAGTTTCATCTACGTGAGTTGATTCCAGTCAAATGCTTGCACTAACACAGTTACGCTTGCAGTTTGGTGAGGATAAAGTTTTCCAGTATTGCTTGGATGTGGTGTTGCTTAGGATGGAAAGAATTTGTTCATGTGGAGGTGTCATAAATATAAAAAGCTTCAGCAGGTTGATTGATGGATATGTTTATTGTTGTGCAATTTGTTTGAGACGAGTTAGTGTTAGGAAAGGTAAGCTGATGATTGTAATGTTTCTTAGGAACATATTTTGTTAGGTCCCATATTTCCTTAACCCAGATTTTGTATACTTGTAATTACTGGGTTTTAGAACAGCCTGTGAGAGTTGCAGCTGTTGAAACTGAAAATAGCCTCATATCAGCAGTTCATTGGTACCACCACTGCCGAGACATCGCGTCATAGAAATTGGAGAGACTTACTTCGTTATTAGGAGAAGGTGTCGTCGTACACGTGGACGAAACTGTCTTATTGAAGAAAATGTATAACCGTGGTCGTGAGTTAGGAAACAATCTTTGAGTGATGGGCTTATATGACACCTTCCTACAGAAAAGATTCGTTGAGAGAATAGCAGATGGAAAGTCAGCTACCTTAGTACCTATTACTACTCAACTGTTAAAACAGGGATCTATAATACACACCGATGAGTGGAAAGGTTATAACTCCCTCTCATCCCTTGGATGTATTCATCACAGAGGGAACCATTCTAGCGGTTTTGTGGATCCCATTACAGTGACACACACCAGTTCTATAGAAGGCTTTTGGGGGAAATTAAAAAATAGGATTAGGGCTATAAATGGATATCAAAAGGATGTCATTTATAGTTATTTGGATGAATAGATGTACAGAATGTGGTGTAGCTTCTCCATTATTAACTCCTATGCTCAACTGGGAGATGTTTCTGTCACATGTAAGGAAAAGATACTCTATGTAACAGTTTTATGCAGTTTTTTTCATAAATATATGCTTTCATGACCGAAAATGCATCTTTCATGTGATCGGTTCTTTGGAGGTCGTTCGCTGATTGGTAGTTAATGATGCTTAAAGTTTAACTTTGCCATGTCGAATAGGGGATGCCGAGCTGGACACGGGCGCAGTCATTACGCCATATCGCTAGGCTACTCCATCATCGTATACAACAGCTACGTGATTTCCCTGCCCGCGCACTATTTAAACCAGAACACAACGACTTGAGACGAAAAGCATGTTCCAGTATCCGTATCAGTATATTTACAAATGAAAACTGATGTATTATATATATATATATATACTTGGCCAATGATGTAGGCGTGAGAGATAATCCATAAAAGGACTTATCCACATATCAGTATTTGAACATGTTCAGAACAAGGTTATAATATAATTATTATTATATGCTCACTTTTTTGAATCCCAACATAGCACTGTGTAGTGTAGTGAGCCAGAGGTTTGCATTTTAACCAGTGGTTCACGGATTTGAAACCCCTCCCCTCGCCTAAGAAGGTCCCATCAACTCTCTAACATAAAAAGTATGAGTTATGGCCATGCAAAAGACTCAATAGTTTTTTCACTGTAATTCAGAACTCAGTGTTATTCAGTCTTTATCTAACTTGGGATCCAATATGCTAATATAGTAAATTAAATTTATTTGATGAGTTTGCAGCATTCGTTCTACTCTTGCTTAATCATTATACTTACGATTTTGTTATAGATTCTATATAATCGTGCAATGGTCCAACTTGGTCTATGCGCTTTCCGTCAATCTCATATTCGTGATGCTCACAATGCTTTAGCCGATATGATTGGATCGAATCGTATTCGTGAACTACTCGCTCAAGGACTTCATACACAGTCAAGATATGAAAAAACTACCGAAGAAGAGAAACGTGAACAAGCACTACAGATGCCGTATCATATGTACATAAATATTGATCTAATAGAATGCGTCTATCTAGTGTCTGCAATGCTTTTGGAGATTCCAAATTTAGCGGGTAAGTGTTGCATATTTTTGTATTGGTGGGGGTGGGTGTATTCACTATGAAAAGTTAGTTGTCTGTCTTTTACTGTTGTAAATGGGTCTTTCTTTCTTTCTTACCTACTAATTCTTTCAGCTCATGAAACAGATTTGCGTTGGCGTCCTATCAGTAAACCATTCCATCTTGCCTTACGTGTTCATGATCGTGCTGCTCTAGTTGGACCACCTGAAACCCCGAGAGATCATGTGTTAGCTGCTGCTAAGGCTATGCGTTATGGAAATTGGAAAGCGTGTACCAATTTTATCATTAATCCGAAAATGGATGCTAAGGTAAGCTGTGATGTTGATCCATGTGATGAATGATTATTAATTAAGATTAGGTATAATTAACTGAATATTATAATAAATTATTAATCGTTATTCATTCCTTGAGTGTCGAGTGAAACATAGGGTGTCAACAGCATATTATCTCCACTCCTCTCGGTTCTCTGCCGTCACTTTCAATTGGCTCTACGCGACTGCCATCAAACTTTTATTATCTGTTTCAGTTAAGTTGTATTTCTTGTTGATTTACTCTGTGTTAAACCGAAACACTTGATCTCTGTTTGACGTCTGCATTCAGGATTCGACCTCCAGTGGAAACACCATAACTCACTTCGGATGCAGACACATCCGACTGACGAGTTCCAAATAGGAGGAAATGTGTATCCTAGATCCCACTGCTAGTCAGTCACTGTCAAACAAACAAATAAAATAAAGCTTTCACGTGGTCTGCTGGATGTCACCCACGAACTCCTGCCTGATCCGTCGCTTCTCATTAGTAGTTTCAGTTGATAGTCTGTCGTGTGATGTCACTTAAAGATTTCTTCTTCAGAGTATCTACTATCCATCTCCATTTCCTTCTGGATATTTTGGTAAATACTAGGAACAAAGTCTTTTTAGTAGATACACTGATATGTATATATAAAAGCTGAATAGAATAGAGGAAAATATTCTTGATATTTCGTTAGCTGAATTAGGTCACACTTCAAAGAATGGGGAAATGCATACATTACATAGGTTTTCTTCGCATGGAAGTTCGCTCCATGTAAGAGATTAAGAAAACTACACGGAATTGTTGAACTTGTGGCGTGTGCTACTGACAAGATTTATAAGTAGTATACAGATATAAATGCAAATATGTATATCGTATGCAAGGACATTAAATAACGGAGTAATGGTTTTAATGGTAAGGTGAAGAAACAGTATGGAAAACATAGAAGAAAGTACAATACGTAAGGCTTGTGCAAATTGTGATTTGAATATATGGCAGACGTTTTCAAGTATTGGTTTTGTAAGGATTTTTGTTTGATTGCATGGAGGATTTCATCATTAGCTGACATCAGTTAGAGAACCACTGGGGAATATGGGAATACTGGACAGCTCTTTCGTCCTAGTTTGGGAATCTTCGGCGATACACACTGATGGGGTTTGAACCCAGGACCTTCTGGTTACAAGGCGAGCTCGTAGACCATTGAGCCACTGGGACCCGACCCAATGGTCCTTGAATTCTAACTTCTGCCAATTTACGACATAGCGCGACCATTTCGCAATGTCTTCTTCGATGAGTCACTGCCCGATCTTCGACCTGCTGTACCCTACTGCGAAATGGTCGCGCTATTTCGTGAATTGGCAGAAGTAAGAATTCACGAACCACTGGATCGGGTCCCAGTGGCTCAATGATCTACGAGCTCGCCTTGTAACCAGAAGGTCTTGGGTTCGAATCCCGGTGGGTGCGTACTTCTGAAGAGTCTCAAACTAGGACGAAAGAGCTGTCCAGTACTCCCAGGTTTTCCGGTGGTACTCTAACTGATGTCAGCTCACGATGAAATCCTCCATGCAATATGGCAGACGTATATTGTCTGTATTCTATATATTGAGCTGCCGATAAACACATCCGTTGCCGCAAATACCCTGCGGTTGGTTACAAACTAATTTCCGAGTATTGTATTCACATTGCTGCAAAGAAAAGATTCCCCAGTGCTTAAGGGACTATATTCTTTATGATATGAAATCCTTTTTACATACACATCCAAAAGTTGGAGCATTTGCACTTATCTTTATGAATCAAAGGAGCAGGGAATTATAGTTTTGAACACAAATACACCGAATATTGATACAGAATAATATGGATTCATGTGATTTTGTTGGTTCCTGTCAGCTGCGTACAACCATTAATATTTACAGGATTTCGTCATGAGCTGACATCGGGTAGAGAACCACTGGAAAACTTGGGAGTACTGGACAGCTGTTTCATCCTAACTCTGGACTCTTCATCAGTCAGTACGCACCCACCGGGGTTCGAACCCAGGACCTTCTGGCTACAAGGCGAGCTCGTAGACCGTTAAGCCACTGGGACCCGATCCAATGACCAGTCCATAAATTCCAACTTCTGCCAGTTCACGACATAACGCGACCACTAGCTAGTGTCTTCGGCGAGTATTTGTTCTCACGCCCGACCTGCTGTACCCTACTGGTCACGACTTCCCAGTTAGAACCAGTTATAATAGTCATAGTCATAGTGAAATAAAACATAAGGATGATAAGGTTATCTCAAATTATATTTATATTGGTTAAAAGGCGTTACAGCCTGTTATGCGGGAATGATACAGAAACAAAGTAAGTTTGCTTTGCCTTAAACTCAGTAACTAAGACCCAGATGAACGTAATAATGATAACCGCTTCGCTAGTAACAATGCGTTTACATACAGTATAAGATTCTCAGTATATTTTTTATTTCAATATCCTTCTATCTGAAGCAAAATTCAATCTTTTTGCGATAGTTTCCCTTTGAGTAGTGAACAGCAGGAAATAGAAACCTACTTAAATAATGTCTCTATGTATATGTGTTACAATATAAGGATATATATTGTGTTAATTAAAACAATAAGATATGGAAGAAAGTCGATGCACTATCCTGGATGGAAATATATAGATACCCTATTGATTTAAGTGGACCACTAGTTAGTAGTTAGTAGACTTTCGACTGTTGGCTTACCTCAATCTGACTAGCGACAAATATTGTTCACAGTGAATTTCCCCTGTCATCCTTTGTCGGTTAAAGGGTCCTGTGGAGCCTTTAAAACAAACAATTTAGTTTATCTAATCCTGCCTGCAATGATTGTCAGGTCAAACTAGTAGAACAGGGGCAGTCAGACTAGCTGAGCATAAAAATCTAGCAAAATCTAGATTGGTTGACCCAAATAAGATAAAAAATCTAGAGAATAGTTCAGCTATAGCACCCACTACATGCAGTTACACACAACCATACAACAGGATGACAGTTTTAAAATCTAATGTCACAGGGTGAAGGGAGGGAAAGATTGATAACAGAAGCTTTGTTTATCGAATCAACTGCAAATACATGTAATAGGAATGATTCATCACCTGTCCAGTCGGATATCTGGAAAATTCTACTACTCCACCTACGACAAATAGGAGAAGACAAAGAAAACTTTAAAACTCAAGTTTCGAAGTCGTGTGATTATAACAATTGATATGATTATGAACAATAAATTTTGTTCGAAACGTCATCCAGTAAATAATACTGTTTCACTGTGTGATACATCTAATAAACAAACTAATATGGAATTACTTACTACCACAGTGCCCAAGTTTTACACACACATACCCCTGTCATCCTTGTTTATTCAAAAGCATACAGGACACAGAGCCTCAGCTCAAAATCTTCATTTCCTACTACATAGCGTCAAATGTGTTGCGCGTAATCTTACTATTGGATCTCATGTTTAATGCCACTCTCTCTAACTGAGCCTTCTTTCATTTGGCAAAGACTTAATTCCATTCGACATTCAGTTTTTTCATCCCAGACTGGCTTGAATTTTTCATTGATTGTAGAGATGTCTGATAATGGCTGAAAGCAACTATTTAGACTCTAGTTTCTTCAATATTCCACCTGTTAATTTTTTTTCATTAAATCTTTGTGGAGCCGTGGCTAATTGGTCCTAGGCGCTCGACTCCCAACCAACTGGGTCATGGGTTCGAAGCGCGCTTCACCTACCGAGGTTTGGGTGATCTTCTGGAAGTATCACTAGTCCTTAAATAATAGCTATGGCTCATTGCCAGATGCATAGGATTGCAACTGCTCATTGTGAGTAACTTTTGTTTGTCCAAAATCTCTTCATATACACTTGATTCTTTTTTTTACTCTTTAAAATATCTTACCAGATTTGGGATTTATTGTTCGAATCGGGTCGTGTAAAAAAGAATCTTGAAGTTAAGATTAAAGAAGAATCTCTGCGAAGTTTCTTATTCACCTACAGTGCAATACACGATTCAATGAGTTTAGATCGTTTATCAAGTTATTTTGAATTACCAAAAGGTACAATCTATTCAATCATTTGTAAAATGATTATTAATCAAGAATTAGCTGTAAGTAAGTATTATTAATTCTATGGTTATTACTATTTTTGTATATACCGTTTATAATTGCTGCTTGTGGTTGGTTATGTGAGAATTTTCAATTTTCCAATATTCAAAATCAATCAGATTTGTTTATGTTTTCAACCAGGAATTTCAAATTACAGCAGTTTGAAGTGTCACAAAAGTGGCATACTAAGGTGATCAATATTCAGGTTAGGCGTCGAGTACTAGGTAAGGAGGGGAAATCAATCGACGAGGCTCTGAAATTACATCGACTGAGATGGTTAGGACATGTGTTACGTTTCCCTAGTCATCGCCTTCCTCGACAATGGGCAATATCAGCTGATATAGGGTCAGGCTGGAAAAGAGCTAGTGGTGGTCAAACGAAAACATGGCACCAGTCAATGAAATCTACAACAGTTAGTTTAAGTCAGTCACGTAGGAAGGTGTAGACTAGCTTCCTGGTTGGGGTCCTCGGAACGGTAAACACCAATGGTTGGAAACAATTGATGACATGTCTCAAAATCGTTCTCAGTGGCGCAGATGCATCCACTCCTTGTGACTTATGATTTCCAATTAAACTGTTTTGTTCTTCGTTATTACTATTCCTTTGTCTCACACCTCTGTTTACTGTCTATATTATGCATTTCTTCTACTTTCTTCTCTTGCTTTGTGTGCTATAAGGAAAGAGTGTGGCGACTTGAACTGGCGCACATATGTGCAAAGTTCTATGTCGAAAACCGACCGACCGACCAAATTGTGATAGACAGTAATTTACGTCAATGTTTACGTCCTCAATATTGGTCATGAGAAAAAACAAGAACAAAGACTGACTCAACAGCCAATCACAAGCAGACTTTGCGTAGGCGGATACAATTTGCAGATAGATAATCTGAACTTCAAGAAACGGCCACAAAGAGATGAAAGATGTTAATCTTTCAGCGAGAAACCACCAATCAGAAGACTGTGTTTGTTTGATTACAATAATCTATAATAATGTACATGAAAATATATAAATATGTGTTGATTTCCCAAATAATCGATCTGTTGCCCCTGGTCCTTGTCTTCTGTTGTTACAACAGCTTAGATTAAAATCCAGTTACAGGAAATAAATGCCAACTGTGATTAGCCTATCAAAATAGGTATGATTAAAATATATACGCTTTGAGCAATAGTAAGAGAACCATTGAAAGTCATGGAGTGTTTCGTCCTAGTTCGGTGCTCTTCAACAGTGTACGCACACAGGTCTCCACAGAAGACCGAAATCGGGACAATTCTGACCGTCCCGCTGACCATTCCAATGCTGTGAAGGAATCCAGGAACGACGAAATAGCTAGCTCTTCAGTTCTCTACCTGAAGTCATTTCTTGATTAATCTTAAAATCAATGATATCCGTGCATACAAGCACTTGGAAAGTATAGAGAGGGTAAGGGTGGATGGACTAGTGCTACACTCTGTTGAAGTCAGAAGTTTCCAGCTTCATGTATAATTAAAAATAAATTTTTCATCTATATCAGTTAAAACAGTGTCCTGTTTCTTCATAAAAACCATCTGGTTACCAAAAGTTATATACCATCTAGTCTCTTGAAATTGGAAACATCATCACTGTTTGGTCCAGATCATCGTCATCTAACAAATGGTTACTAAATTAGCGTTATTTCAGTTTGACTGGGCATTTCAGTTAAAGTGGAGTGCCTATAAAGACTTTATTGATCTATGAGGAAAGAAATTATTAATACTGTGTTATATTATTATTATTATCATCATTAACATTCTGTTTTTCGTGTAGTATCTTTTCTATGTGGGTTTTTTTATACTAAGGTATTTTAATTTTTGTTTTTACCACCACCTAAAGGCATCTTTAGAAGTTCCCAGCGATGCGTTAATAATGCATAAGACAGAACGTTCACGACTTCAAGCTCTTGCGCTTCAACTAAGCGATAAAGTCAATAGTATAGTAGAAATGAATGACAAATTGGTTGAAAGTCGTAGTGGTGGATTATCCGGGTTAAAAGGTTAGTGTTTATTGATTTTTTTTAAAAAGTATATAAAAGTAATATTTTGGATTTCCTTCACGTTCCCAGTGAAACATAGGGCTTCAAGCGAGAGGCTTGAAGTTTCTGTAGCAGTGTTTTACTTTTACAGGATGAGGTTGCTAGCCTCATGCCCAACCTTTCCTCTTTACCGGCTTTTTATTACTGGTTTGGCGAGGTAAACGGGTACGTCGGTCGGGGATCGAACCCCAGACCATGTGCATGGTCGGTGAGCGTCCTAACCGCTGTGCCACCGACGCATTCACATTAAGTTCATGTATCTATTTACCCCTTTGCGTCCTGAGTGGAACATAGGCCTCCGAGTTTTGAGTTTTGAAGTTCCAGTAGCTGTGGTTTTCATTTGACGGTGTGGGATCGTCTGTCTCACACCTAACTTCCTCTCTTTTAACCGGATTGACTACCGGCTAAGTGATGGTAAAGGAGTGCGTTGGTTGGGAGTCGAACTCGGGCCACGTGTGTGATTGATTGGCAAGCATTCTACCAACGCATATTAAGTCTATATTATTGCAATTCATCGACGTATTCCTTCATCTGATAGTGTTTCTTGAACTGTGAAACCATATCACATGCATTTATCAATTTCCTAAATATTTTAAAACCTGTTTATGTACTAGACTAAGCTTATTGACTTAATCATTCAACTTAAAGGAAGTGACATCTGAGTTCGAATCTCGCTCTACCTAGTTCAGCTGGGCATCATTTGCCTTAAACACAATCAGTAAGCGAGATGTGTGTTCGGAGTTATTTTGAGTTCTGACAACGTTAACATAGTTAACATAGAGGACATCATACCTGGCCAATAGCTATAATCACAATAGATGTGTTTCTCCGTACAGCAAACGTTTACTTGTTTTTCAGCTCTAATTTCTTATTAATACTATTATTCCTTTGGGTTCTTAGTAGGGCATACGGCTTCAACTGCACATTTCTATTTCATCCTGTCCTCTTCAGCTATCTTCGCGATTTCCCATAGGCTGTCATCTACTTCTCACACTTTCTTCTCTATGTCACCCTAAGACTATGCCTAACTCATCTTTCCCTATTCGGGTTCCACTTGAGCGATGGCCTGATGTTATGGTGTTACTCAAAGGTGGTATCTCCTCAGGATGTGTCCGATCCATCCTTCTGCATATTTGTTGAGTGATAAGTTGTTAGTTCTTTCGTCACCAGAGTTCCTTTTTACTCATCCTTTCTGGCTGACATTGTGATCTTCATTGTGTATGCAGCGAAGTCAGCTGTTGATCAATGTCTTCAGCAGCTTGTTGTTGGAAATGCTTCTGATGACGCATCAAATCTCTTTTTTTTTCTAATCGCCACTTTGTCATCCTCATCCGTGTCTCTTGTAGTTAAGACGATGCTCATCAGTCCGCTTCGTCCTCCTTTATGGCTGTGAGACCTGGCCATTGAGAGTGGAAGACATGAAAAAACCGGCTAGCTGTCTTTGATCATAGGTGCCTGCGTTCTATCTCCCGCGTGAAGTGGTATAATAAGGTGAGCAATAGTGAGGTTAGGCATTAGTCGAGTGCTAGGTGAGGAGGGGAAATCAATCGACGAGGCTGTATTGCTACATCAACTGAGATGGTTAGGACATATGTTACGTATGCCTAGTCATCGCCTTCCTCGACGACAGGCAATGTTAGCTGACATAGGGTTAGGCTGGAAAAGAGCTAGCGGCGGTCAATCGAAAACATGGCACCAGTCAATGAAATCTACAACAGTTAGTTTAAGTCAGTCACGTAGGAAGGTGTAGACTAGCTTCCTGGTTGGGGTCCTCGGAACGGTAAAAACCAATGGTTGGAAACAATTGGTGACATGGCTCAAAATCGTTCTCAATGGCTATCGCAGATGCATCCACTCCTTGTGACTTATGATTTCTAATGAAACTGTATTTTTCTTCGTTATTACTACTCCTTTGTCTCACACCTCTGTTTACTGTCTATATTATTCATTTCTCATACTTTCTTCTCTTGTTTTGTGTGCTACATGGAGTGTGGTGACTTAAACTGCTACACATTTGTGCAAAGTTCTATGTCGAAAACAGACAAACAGACAGAAACGATGGAGCTCTTACAGGGGAATACACTTTAATACGCTTTAAAAAGTCTAACTCAATTATTTTTCCAGGTATATAATGTTACGAATACACATACATTTGTACACAACAGTGAGCCACACACCCTCTAAGTGAATCGTTTTTGATCTTCCTTCTGGAGTTTACAAAACACAGACTTATGTTAGGAAAATGTGTACATAGATGTGACTTATAGAACCACCTAGCTATATTTTATCGTCCATATAATCCATCTTGTTCAACCGAATGTATAGTGTTGTGGTATTTATATCCGCAAGACATTTTGCCTACTTAAATCACTGAATTTTGTACATTGTATATAATTTCCCTATTTTTTTATATTTCTCCACAGGTTCTCAATCTTATCAAGGAAGTAAGTGGGATTGTTTTTATACACTTATAATTGCTGCTTTTAATCTACATATCACAATTATAGTACTGATCCCAGTTATCATACATGACAACTAGGTAGCTCGTCAGTTCTATATCTGTTTAGGATTGATGGCGTCAAACATGCTATAGTCCGTCATGCGTTCATATCCTCTTTCGTCTGCAACTGAATTTTTTAGTTTATATCCATCACAGGCAAATTACCATGGGGATATATATACAAACATACAGTGACAGTCTTCACAACACTTTCTGGATTCTTAAAAAAAGGTTTCTGAAGTTTCTTTATTTATTGATTGATTACAGCTTAATTCCACACCGTATTTTTCTGGTACAGGTATGGAATTTTCAGCATGTGATATCGGTAGCCCAAATTTTGCAGGCCGACCATAGATATCAGGTGTGTGTCAGCAGGGGATCGAATCCCGGACCATGTGCATGGTCGGCGAGAGTCCTAACCACTGTGCCACGAGCCTGTGATTCATTGACTTGGATAACATCGCCTCGGCTGTTGTTGTTGTTTCATTATTCCACATTCACAATATGGATTATCCATTTCTGAGTGTACTGAAATGCGTTGTGCTGACTGACTATAGTAACCTAACTGTGTTTGTGTGGGGTACCTGAACTTTGTTGAAAAATGCTCATATTAATTTGAACTTTTTAATTCAGTAAATGAATTTAGGAATATATATATCTTAGAGAGGAAGAAGTGATGGTTTTGACTTTCTAATCCAGTTACTGATTGTATGATTGAGTACCGATGTTAGAAAGATACTCAAAGAAATGAGACTACTCACTGTCGTTCCGTACGGTACGAATCAAAACATCTTGATATTTGTGTTCATTTGCATAACATAAATGTGAAGTCACTAAGTTCATAGTTTCATATTATTTCCAATTCTTTTGCAAATAGCCTCTAATATTTAGGTAGATGTCTTTGGGAAAAAATATACCGAATATTTTTATCCCAGCGACTTTCAAATATTCCTTTCTAGTCTTAAATTTTTCCCTCTTATCTGCCTAAGTTTCAACATAGAACTTCGAACAGAACATTTAGGAGGTTCTAATCGTGTGTCAAACACTAAGATTTCCGTTCAAGTTGTTCAGAAAACTCTGCATTCTGCCTATGTTCATTCACCTTGAATGATGGTATCGTCAGAGTGTACTCTAAGTTTTCGAGACTATCTTGACCTGGTAACAATCGAATCTCTTATTAGCTAAAGTCAGTTAAGGTCACATCTAATAGAGTACACCCAGTAGGAAGTGGAGGCAACTGGCATACCTGATCGGAACCATCCCTTAAGTGATATTTAAAGTATCCTGATTAACCGGTAAAATAACTGTTACTTTCATACTGTTTATTGTGTAAATAAACTCATACTTAGATTGGTTGCACTCTGAATTGTTGTTAAGTGGTTGGAGACAGATCGGCAGGTAGTCTTGGATCCAGATTTCATGCTTGTTGGCAGCACTCGTCGTCGTCAGCAAGGCTGACTGATAGAATTCAGTCTGCAACAAACGAAGGACTAAATGCATCAAAATTAGTTATTACCCTAGTGTTCAATCAAAAGTATCCATTACAGTCAGTCAGGGGGATAATCATGAGCCCGAATAGCTCTGGCTACAGCCCTGGATGACCCGGGTTCTTATCACAGAAGGGATATAAGTTCCCGTCAAGAACTCAGATACACCTTACTGGTTGACGAATGAATGAAACATAGGTCCGAGGCTTCCTGTCGACTTCGTCCAACAGCTGACAAATAAACTTATGTTGTGCTTAAGTAGTTCATCTATTCTTCCTTGAACTTATAATATATTATTGCTAAAATAAATGTGTATCAATAATTCCAGTGAGACGCCAGACATTTGTGTAACACATACACAGAGGTGAGTTATTCTGAGTGGATTGCTTTACGCTTTTCTGTCCATTCTAACCTTTTGGTAACTGGATTATAAATTATATGTACATGGTTTTTTTTAAAAAAATTTCTTTTAAACACACACCAACTTCTTTTCTCTCTCGTTTAAAATGATTTCCAAATTTTACTTGTTTGGTTCTATCATTCACCGAGTGTTTTGAGTATTTTTTTTCCTCACAGTTTTTACGACTTTTGTCCTTATGTGTACAGGATGTGTGTTCTGGGTGGTGGGGCAGGGTGGGGTGAGTAGGCGAAAAGCCTCTGTCTTGCACACTGTTGTTGTCTGTGACTTGTAAGCAGTACAGTTATGCCTACTGCTTGAAAATTATCTTTCCAGTGTCATGCACACACGGTACAAGGTTTAATACTAAACTATATATGAGTCATATTCTATGAGGTCCTGGTTATTCAGATTTAAGTTAGGCATTATTATTATTATTTCCTTTAGTTCCTAGAGGAACATAGGGCTTCAGCCGTGCGTCTCCATTGCGTTCGGTTCTCTGCCAAAGTTTTCACCTGGCTCCACGTCTGCCCACATGCTTTCATCTCCTCTTCACATGACCTCCTCCAAGTCACCCTTGCACTGACGACCAACTCGCCGCTTCCCTTTCGGGTTCCACTCGAGCAATGGCTTGTCTAGTGATGTCACTTGATGGTTTGTTTCCTCAGAGTATGGCCAATCCATCTCCATTTCTTCCTGCTTATTTGTTGCACAATCGGTCCCTGGTTGGTTTGCTCCCAGAGATCCCTGTTGCTGATCTTTTCTGGCCGGCAATCTGATCTTGAGTATTGAGCGAAGACAACTGTTGATGAAGGTCTGTAGTTTGTTTGAGTTGCTCTTCATGACGCACCAAGTCTCTGATCCGTATAGTAGCACTGACTTCACATTGGAGTTGAAAATCCGGATCTTATTTTTGATGCTGAGTGCTGTTGACCTCCAAACAGACTTGAGAGTAATGAAAGCTTGTCTTGCTTTTCCGATTCTTGCTTTGATATCCTCGTCAGTTTCGTCCACCTGTAGTTGAAACGATGCTTCCCAGGTCGGTTGGTAAAGGAGGTTGTTTCTTTCAGGTTCCTCCCATTTATGCTGATTGTTGTCTGTTGTTGTTGTCCAGGAATCTTCACTTATCTCTGTTTTCTCTATGTTCACCTGGAGTCCTATCTTTGATGCTTCTTCTGCCAACTTGTTGCTTTTCGCTTGCATATCTTCCAGTTTGTGGGAAATCAGATATATATCATCGGTGAAGTCCAGATCCTCCAAGTTTTTTTGTGTGAGTGCATTTTAAGCCTGTTTCCTCATTGCCCGCTGTCTGTCGCATTATCCAATCTACTGCAATCAGGTAAATCATTGGCGATAGTAGGCCACCAGCCTGTCTTACTCCCGTCTTCACTTCGAAGGATTCCGTAAGTTTCCCGTTGTGGATTACTTGGCATGCAGCATTGTCGTACAACTGTTGGATGAGATGTATAATTGTCGGTGGCATAGTGAAATATAAATCTTGACCTTATCAATGAGAAGTTGTGTTAATTGCCGGTAAGCTGTTATCTCAGATCCTTGTAGATTTCTTTTTTTCTTTACTCTAGTCTCTATTGTAGAGCCGTGGCTCATTGGTCTAGGCGCTCAACTTCCAACTAGCTGGTCACGGGCTTAAACTTCACTCTGCCCATCGAGGTTTGGGTGTAGTCCCGGGTAGTATAACCAGCCCTTGCCAACTAAACTGTATGGAGTTTCAAGTGGTTGCTGAGCAGCAGCATATTATACTACTAGTGTTTATTACCTTGACAATTATCAGGAAGTACTTACTGGTTGTTGATAGATATGACGTCCTTCATTGGCAAGGCTTTGGATGTATTCATGTGTGACTCTCACATCTGAATTGAATGCAGCTTTAACTACTAAAGTTGTGTTTCCCATGATACAGCTTTTGTTGAGTAATACTGAACTGCTAGAATTTTCAGACAAATTGGAAATTAGACTGCAAGTGTGCTTCTTGTAACTAAGCTTTTCAGTTAATTTTTTACTCAGTTGTCAATCTCTGCTCTGTCGTTATCATGCGTAAACTTTCACTGCTTCAGCATATATATATATATATATATATATATATATATATATATATATAGTTGAGACACGTGAAATGAATACTCTGTAATCATGACCCTTACTTACTTAAATTATTGATGACTTCTTTTCCCCCACCAGGATGTGTACATCCATTTACTGAATGTTGTAGTTGTATGTTAGAAAAATTGGAATCACTTCGTGAAGTCTCTGACAGTTGGTTTGAGCGAGCCATGTATGAAGGGGGATGTACATTACCTAGTTGTGAAGTCCTAGAGATGCCAAGATTCAATAGCTGGAGATATTGGCTCAAAATGGTTTCCATCAATGGTGCAGATGCATATTCACCCTTTTGTAGTCTTACAGATCTACTAAACCCTCATGTTTTTCTATGTTGCTATATTCTTTCCTCCTCACATTTCTGCTTATTATATTTGTTTTGACTTTCTTTTTTCACTGGAAAATCAATCGAAGAGGCTATAAAGTTACATAGATTGAGATGGCTAGGTCACGTGCTGCGCATGCCTGACCATCGCCTCCCCCGACGGACGGGCATTACTAGCTGATATAGGTGCAGGTTGGAAAAGAGTAAGTGGTGGACAAACAAAAACATGGCATCAATCCATGAAATCCCTGACAGTTAAACTGAGTCAGGTAGGGAGATGCAGACTTCCGGGTTGGGGCCCTCGGGACTCTAAGAATCAATGGCTGGAGACAATAGGTGGTGACATGGCTCAAAATCGTTGTCAATGGCTTACGCAGATGTATTCAGTCTCTTTAACCTTCATATTCCTTTCTACCATTACTCATTCTGTTTCACTCTTATATTTGTCAAAACTCTATTGATTCTCTTCACTCATTTTCTTGTCTACTTTTGTGTGCTATTTGGAACGTGGCAACTGGAACTGCTGCACTTCGGTGCCAAGTTCTATGTTGAATCCAGACATACCTCTTTGTCTGGGTGACAAATTGAATTCCCGGGAAATCTGTGCTTAGTTCTATGTCAAAACTCATTCCGTGGAGTTGTATCTATTTCTTTTCAAAGTGACATCTATTTCCTCCGAAAATTTCCTCCCACTGTTGAAATTCTCAAATTTATTGGAGTACACTGTGAAACTTCTTCTGTTAGGCAAACTCTTAATACTGAGTGAAAGTTTAAGAAAGCGTGGTATATTACTAACTCTGTGAATGTGGTATTTTTGCAAAACTACCTTCCATCAATTCAAGGAGACAGATATTTTTAAATTTTTCTCAAGTCCCGTCACGGATTGATATCAGTTAGAGAATCATTGAAAACCAGAGAGTACTGGACTGTCTGGGACTTGAAACAAATCAAATCCCTGTAAACAGACTCTTGTAAATTTTTTTCGTCTCCAAGTACGATGTTGTTGGTAAACTAACTGCTCTAATCGTATCAGTGTCCCTGTTAATTTCCAAATCTTTCGTTTCATTTATCACTGGACACTGATATGATTATCTCTCCCACCACTATATGTGACTGTAAGATCTGTCCGTTGAAAGCGGAAAATTTAAAAAGGCTGATTGTCTTTTTACCATAAGTGTTTGCGTTCTCTCTCATCCTTGTTAAATGGTATAATATGGTAAGTAATACTGCGTTTAGGCATAAAGTCTTAGGTGATGATGAAAGGTAGTCAATCTTCTCCTCACATAATCTCTCCATGTCACTTTCGTTTCCACACCCAACTCGTCATTTACCTTTCGGGTTCCGCTTGAGGGCTGGGCTCTAGGGTATGATGTCATATGACGGTTTCATCAGTGTATTCAATCCATCTTTTATTTCCTTCTGCATATTTGTTGGTCCGTTCGCTGCTAGATTCCATCTTTTCTAATCCTTCTTTCTGTCCGACCATTTGAACTTCAGTATAGGGCGAGGTGGTAGCTGTTGATGAAATTCTCCAGTTTGTTGGAAATAGTCTTCGTGAGCCGCACCAAGTCTCTGAAATATACAGAACCGCTAGCTGGCTTGACATTAGTGTTGAAAATCTTAATCCATTGCTGAGTGGAGTAGATTTCCAGATTGTTTTCAGGTTATTGAAGGTCTGATGTCTCGCTTTTCCGATCCTGGCTGGCTGGCTTTTGACATCCTCATCTGTGAAACCTGTAGGTGATTTCTCAATTACCAATCTAATCTTTTAAGATGCTTATTTTAATTACTTTTATATGTGTATACCACCTATCCTAATACTTAAATTGAGTGTGTATGTGCCACTTCAACAAGATGTAAGTTATTTCTTCATAGATAGGAATCATATTTTTGTTAATTCATAGCTATGATGCTTATATAGGTCTGTTCCCATCTACCTGAGTTTAATTCTATCATAAATGGGTATTTGTTTGTTTCATATATATTTAAACACTAACTCTAACAAGCGTGTTTGTATCCCTTCCTCCTTGGTGAACAATTGAGGGTGACTCTTGTTTTTATTATTATCAAAATTCTTCCAAATACTCCCAATTAAAAAAAAATAAACAACCTCAAAGTCTATGCACACTATTAATTTGTATTCGTTGGTCTTTTTATTTATGTTTTCACTATTCACAATTAAACTTTTTTATTTGGTTGTGATATGTATATGTGTGTACTTACTTACTTACTTATATTATTATGTGCGCGCACATTTTTGTTTGAATCGTCATTGGTTATTGAACGGCTTGATGATATATTGTCCCATGTTCCTTTTATGGTGATTTTTGAGTTTAATGATCATTGATATTCAACTGTTTCATTTCGTTCTCCTTGTGAGTGGGACATGGGACTTCAAGCTTAAGCTTTGAGTAGGATTGCTAGCCTCTAACGCTCAATTTTTCCTCTTTACCGGGTTTATTGCCGGCTAATTGAGGTCCAGGTCGTATCACTTACGTGGTTGGAAAGTATCCTACCATTGGACCACTGATACACAGTAGTCACCAGTGAGCTACACCTGTTGTTGTCTGTGAATTAATGAAATTATTATCTGACTGCCGAAATCTTCGTAGGGCGTGGAGCGGCGTTTGAACTTATCACCGAATGGTTGCAAATCAAGCGCCTTAGACCAGTGAGCGACAACAACTGCACAGTTAGTTGATGTGTTTAACCGATATCACTTTATATAAATGGATTCATTACGGTATCCACAGTTATATCCACTAGCGTTTCACTGGCCATTTCGCTCACTCAAGACGTGTTATGACTTATTTAATAACTGATAAGTGTGTGCTTTTACCATACATACGGGTGATCAACGTTGTCACATTTCCTAATAGAGCAGGAAACAAACAGAATATGTACACTTCAAACAAACACTGAATCCCTAACGCACTCTACCACCATTAATCTGTCCTGTTTGAAAGGTGTTCGTAGGTCAGGTAAGAAGTTACCTAAAGCGTGTAATAACTGAGTTTCAGTGGCATCAGTGTGCTTACTGTGTCTAGTCATAGTTTGCTAACTTTCTTTCTATCGAAGGTTCAAATACATTTTCTAACAATGTGCCATTCTAACTCTACCATTGGAGGAGTTTAAATCACAATGTCCATTGTCAGTTTACACGTAACATACGAAAGAGAACATTACTTATTATTTCTCGTGACTAGGAAGTTATCCTACAAATGTACTACTCTAATAAAACATGTATTATTAAATAAGCTTTTCCCAAGGTAAGTCAATTAATTACCTTTGAAAAAATTTTTTTCCATTTGTGTCATAAAGCTGTCTTTTCTCAAGATTGATCATAGTGTATTGATTACTCATTTTAAATCACTGTTCCCCTACTCTTTCTCTTTCTTTCTTTGTAGCACGTCGTACGGGTATCCGCTATGGAATGACAAAATTCAACTAATGTCTTTTCTGGATCACTAATTAATTGTCTTAGGTTTTCAGTTAGTTCTTCAACATCTCTGTTTTTGTCTTATCTCTGTGTGTTGTTGAACTAAACCTTTCTAGTATTCAGTGATTGGAGTTTATTGGCTTACACTTCACTTTACTTCATTCAATCTCTTCTATAACAAGAAAAAACAAAACAAACTAATGCTGTAACTATATAATAATTACTGTTTTGTCGTATAACTGACTATTCCTTACACTATACAAATAAGCATATTTGGGGTTTTTTGTCTTAAGTTTTGGTGCTTTTTAAAGAATTGTAAAGTTGATAGATGTTCTCCACGGACACTTGTTCTTGGTAAATCTTTCATATTTATTGCTTTCATGAAGATTGATTGATAATCGACAATAAGCTAGCTAGCCGCATCATACCAACATGAATTTCTAAAGCAGAGATGACTTTATTTCTTGGTTGTTGTTTTGATTCACTTTCGACTTATTGGTGGACGTTTGAAGTTATATTATTATATAGCGTACAATTAATAGAGTTAAAAATTAGGAAATGAGTTAAGTTGAAACATGAGATATATCAAGTTACCATGACACCGAGTAGTGCTTTGTGTGCATATTGAATAGGATATGGAACGTTTCTGGTGAAAGTACCCCTAAGGTGAGTGTAGTGAGGGTGTAAAGAAGAAAAGACCGAGGAGGCTGAAAGGAATGTTTATTTGGTGAAACGTATTGTACATAGGTAAATTTGGTATACCATATTTTCAAACTGCCATTTGCACATCATTTACCACATCCTTGACGAATTGGTCGAATATCGTCACATTCGATAGCTTCTTGGATTCTGCATCATATGGCAACATTCTTCTCATGGTTCTCTTCTTTGATTGCTCTTTCCAGTGTGCAAAACATATTGTTACTTTTCTGAATTAGTTTCTGATATACTACTTATATCGGATTATAAGTAGCACTCACCACAGGGGCACCTAATCAAACAAACCCTTAACGGCATTCATCATTCTACATCGGTTAAGAGAGAAAAGGATTCATACAAGTCACGAAGAATTTATCGTTTCTATTTGGTTACTTGTCTCCTCTCTCTGAATTCCTTAGTCACTATGTACCTCTGACTGACCGTAGTATTCCGTGTTCATGAGACCCATCAGTGGAATACTACCCAGTGTTTGCTACCAACTGTTTTCTTTGTAACCGAATATTTGGTACGTCTCCTTCTCCAGTCTCTAAATATGTTGGAAAGCAAGCTGCATATAAGCAGTCCAAATTAATTAGTTTCATTGGATGCCATAACATAACTGTTTTGGAAACACATCAAGTTGCAGTTGATTCCGTTGTGAAGGGGTTATATATCTTTCGATCACATAGTCTGTTACTTTGGCTAGTTTGCCATCTTGTTCATATTTGATATGTCACTTCCGACTGTTTTCCGACTTGAAATACATAATCTAAAGAGTCTCTGCACGAACTAAACTATCTACTTTTTTCCATGCAGAGGGTGTATGTTCATGGGCATTGTGCCATCTCACCTGCTATCTCATATGGAAATAATTTTCTTTCAAAACACTAAATAGACTACCCCGGACAGGGTTTCTCTCACCATGAGAAAATTTAGATAAGTAATTTGAGTGACGTCATCCCCTGTTTATTTACACTGGCTGAGGCTTAGAAAGAGTGTTACGGTCGGAATAAATTCGAAGAAACTAGAGATTTGTGACTTAATTTGTTAGGAGAGTTTATTAGTCATGTAGCACGACTCTCCTTAAACAAATAAGACTTTGTATTCTTCTATAGTAGTTACGGATAACGTATGTGAGAATTTATGCCTAGACCGTTTGTTGGCTACATATATATTGACTTTTATTCCTTTTGAAACCAATGAGCACAGAATCCTCCAAGGGAAATAGAGACATGGTTTGTTGCAGTGTCTGATGCAATTCGAAAGTAAGTTCAAAGGGAGGGCACTGATGGATCCCACTTCACAATTCTGAATTAGTGAATAAATTGGTAGTCAGTGGAATTCAGGTGTATCGGGGTCTGACACTGCTCAATTGTTTGTGTAGGGGGTCAAAGATGTTCATCGACTCGGCTGAATATCGGACGAGGATGTCAAATCGGGAAGGCGAGAAACACATTCATCAACCTGAAACCAATCTGGAAATCTTCGTCACTCAGCATCAACAACAAAATTCGGATTTTCAATACAAACGTCAAGTCAGTTGTTCTATACGGATCAGAAACTTGGCCAGTGTGTCACAAAGAATATTTCCAACAGCCTGTTGCAGACCATTATCAACAACTGTCTTCGTTCTATACTCAAGATCAGATGGCCGGCCGGAAGCAATCACCAACAAGAAACTATGGGAACAAACAAACGAAGCAAGAACCAATCGCCCAACAAATATGCAGGAGAAAGTGGAGATGGATTGGACACTCGCTGAGGAGGCCGCTGGGTGACATCGCGCGTCAGGCCGTCGAATGGATTCCAAAAGGGAAGCGGTGAGTGGGTGACATGGAGGAGATCGTATGAGGAGGAGTTGAAACAGTATGGACTAACATGGATGCAAGTGAAAAGTACAGCAGAAGCAAGTGGAGACGTGCAGTTGAAGCCCTATGTTCCACCAGGAACCCAAGGGAACAATAATAATAGCTCAAGTCTACCAAGATACAGGGCTACGCAACGATCATGAACATTATTTCTAGTTGAAGCTAGCTGGAAAACCAGCTCGAGGTCGTCCAGGCAATATGAATGAATGGTTTCTAGTTTTTTTCATACTATAATGTACTCTCTTAATCAGAGCACTGTGAGGAGCAGCAATTGAAGTTTATTGGGACTGGTCCTCAGGATCCTTCTGGACAACTTGTTTTTTATAAATGTAGGGTATACAAAGTGTATGCTTTAACTTGAAGCCATAAATTATTATGGATATTGTGTCGAATTCCACCATGCTGCTAAACTCAACAGTAAACTGGTGAGACCCCAAGTCAAATTATCTGTTTTCGAACTCTACAAAAAGTCACAATCTATCTGCCTTCCACTTATTGTCTGCTGCATCTCACAAATGACCGTAATTTTGGTATCCTAGTGCATAATGAATGTCTTCGTCCCTCCGGCCATATCATGCATCTCGTCAAAATAATGTCGGTTTTAATTCTCAAGAATTTCCGCCTAAATCCTTTTCAATACATGCGGATACTTATATCTAGTAAAAAGTCACCTGGTCAAATATAAACGTACTTGAAGGTCAACGAGATCAGTCACAGAATCAGAGAGGTTTCCTAAAAACCCTCGGATGTTTTTGGCGAGTTACGAATACTGAGATCAAACCTTACTTCCATAAGCTGATATCTATTGTTCAAAGGGTTACTACTATTTCTTACATCATCAGGACAAGATTTTTTGATGTTAAATTTAGTTTTGCAAGTTAGTGCACCAAATGGACAGTCTTCAGTTTAATCACCCTGTATCCGTTCATGACATAATCTCTACAGTCGTATTCCCGGATCCTATAAGAATTCGAGAGTATTAGTCTGCTTAATCTTCAAAATGGCTGCAAAAGTCCCACTTTCACATCAGTGAGACTATTCAAATGGAAATATACCAGTTACATTTACTGTTCATTAAGGTAGAGAACAGAGTATCCGGTGTTTATTTTCATCGGCATACATGTAGTGTGAATAACAATAAAATACATGGTACGAATCCACATAATTTGACAGCTAAATTCTTTTCTGCTACTGCTCGCTGTTTTTGGGGCTTCATATCGCATGTGAATTAAAACTATTACCAATTATTATTAATCATCATTCTTTCTCTTCGGAGGGGAACTCATGAATACAGGAGCAAATCTCCTTTCCGCTATCTTTGTTATCTTTCTCCACAGCTGCCCACAAGCTTCCCTCGCCATATCGCCCTCAGTCACCGAACTCACGGCCTCAAATTCGGATTCTACTTGAGGGCCTGGTGTGTGATGTCACCGAATGGTATTCCCAGTGCATCTCCACTCAGTCTACTCTGGCATATTTGTTGCGTATTAAGTTCTTGGCTAGTTTGTTGTCACAGTTACTTGTTATCTACCATTCCTGACCATCTGCCCTTCAATGTCGAGCTGTCTGTAGCTGAAACGTTCTTATCTTGGTAGGTGAAAGAAATGACTGCTGATTTCCCCCACTGATGCTGATCGATGCTTTTCTTAGGTAGTTTGGTACTTTCATCATCTCTGGCTTCTCTATATTTACTTAAAGTCCCGTTCTCGCTCCGTCTTCTGCCAACTTTTCGGTCTTCTTTGGCAGTTCTTCGAGCCTATGCGCCACTAAACACAAAAGTCACCTGTTAAATCCATACGTTCTAGGGTCTTATCTTCAGCCACACTTATGCCTGTCCTCTCACTCCTCATTGTCTCTCTTGCGTGATTTAGTTCGTAAAAACTGAGTATTTCATCAGTGATAGTTGGTTGCCTCGTCTCACATACATAAGCAGTTTTTTCAGTGACATTATCTAGCCTTCCACTGTTAGTTAGTTGGCATTTTTGACTCTTGGATCAGGCCTATGGGGGGTTGTAATGCTTTCCTCCGTGCTTCGGAAGCGATCAACAAATTAATCCACGGCCGATAATGTCGAAGTTTGCTTCACTGCCGATGAAATTCGGGTGGAGTTTGACCTGTCACTCCATTCTCTGGTCGATGATGATGGTTAATGTCACAATCTCATCCACATCTGACCCGTCTTTCCTGAATCTAGATTTTTGCGAGCGCAGTTTTGCATCTATAGCATCTTTGACTCATTCTGCACTGTGCAACCTAATATATTTTTTTGGGGGGGGGGGCGAACAGGAGCATTACCCTGTCGTCATTCATTTTCTACTGATGCATATTCTGCTTCACCATCCTACTCTTCTCTGTAAGCTTCCACGTGTCTGTAGGAAGCCATTTCTTGTCTTGCCTCTTCTTACCTCTTAAAACTGCCATATAGGTTTTCTTCAAGGCCACAGTTAGAGTTCCAGTATTCTTCAACACAGGCATCCTGGATGATGGTACATAATGCCTCCTAACTTAAGCTGGTTGCTGCAGTAAAAGCGTCCTTCGTCATTACACCCTTTAGTTTAAGGGTTTCGAACTCAGATGGTTGCCTATCTACAGCTTTTCCGAAGGATGTCAACTTGATCTTGAAAGTACTTGCACTAAATAGTGGTCTGAGCCCACATACGCTCCATTTCTCAATTTTGAGTCCCATAGATAATCTCCACTTTCTTGAGAATGAGATAAGGTTCATCTGACTTTCTGTGTGTCTATCGGATGAAACCTGTGTTTCATTGTGCGTATCCTTGGGCTCGTACCCCTGCATCCAGTCATCAAATCATTGGACTCGCAGAAATCTGCGGAGAGTTCTTCATTTCGCCAACGGCCACTCGACCCATGATGAGTTCTTTTCCTGTGTTATATGTCCCTAGTTTAGCATTCACAGCGCCTATAAGGATTTTGAACACTACATTTGGGATGTTGAAGGTCACCTAGTTTACCAGCTCACTAGTTTTCTAGCCGGTCCCAG